GAACTTCTCCCTTTTTGAATTTTATACCTTGGAATTCGGTATTTGTGTTATACTTTTTTAGTAAACGGGGCTCTATAATTGACAATACTTGATGGGACGAAACAGTGTGTTTTATTATGTACCTCTCTACATGTAACTCATTCGAATCCTTTTGTCTTTCTGATTTTCCTTAAAACGACAGTTATTAATGCTACTTGTGTATGCCAGAAGAGAATTAGCTTATATGTTCTATATATTAGTTAAGGTTCTACAGATTAAGTAAATATGTCAGAAAAATTTATTTTTTACCCATCATAAGCTTAAATTTTTATTCTTGCTGTTCCTTTAACAAGCGATTATCCCTTTAACTGGTCCAAGTTGTCAAAATAATAACTATCTTTACTCGAAAAAATAAATCCAAACTGTAGAGGTGTGCTGAACTTGAAATATTAGATATGATAATAATAGAAATCCTTAACTATATGCAATAGAATATGAAATATATAAACACGGATATTGAGAAATGCAATGAATATTATATGATAGCATTGATTTTATGATAATTATTTTAAATCAGAATATATTATCATTTTATTATAAGAAGGCATATTTGTAACGATTTTTTTAATATATTTAAATTACAAAGTTACAATGTGTGTGTTGTATTTATTATACTTCGTTGCTAAATTTAAGGTTAAATTAATCATGAATGCAATAAAGTATGCTGTTTCTATTTTGGGCAAATAGTTATAAACAAATTATTATGGATTAGAAGAAATAGCGTGTTCTATTACACGAAACATAATTTCGATACACACACACAACAGTAATTCTAATCAAATCAAATGAACAGCTCTCTTATGGCTGTTTTTTTTTTATATCTTAAAGTCACAGTGAACCTTTAAGAAATTTTCATGTATATGATTTATTTTCAGTGCGCAAGGTTTGATTTTCCTTGAAAATGATAACAATCCAGAATGTAAAAGTTAAGCAATCACGTATCGTTATCAGATGCATCACAAATTCAACATATATAAATAAGAAGATGTGGTATGCGTGCCAATGAGACAACTTTCCATCCATGTCACAATGTGTAAAAAGTAAACAAGTATAGGTTAAAGTACGGTCTTCAACACGGAGCCTTGGCTCACACCGAACAGCAAGCTATAAAGTGCCCCAAAATGACTAGTGTAAAACAATTCAAACAGGAAAACCAACGGTCTTATCTATATAACAAACGAGAAACGAAAAACACTTATGAACCACATCAACAAACGACAACCAGTGAACAACAGGCTCCTGACTTAGGACAGGTGCATACAAATGCAGCGGGTTTAAACGTTTTAACAGGCGCCAACCTTCACCCTAATATGAAACAGTAGTGTAACATTACAACATAAAAAGACCCACTATAAAATATCAATTGAAATGGCTTTACTCGATCAAAAAGACATATATGCAAAAACAAGTAAACATACACTGAACGAATAATTTTCATCAAGACACAATATAAATATAATATTAATAAAAAAGATGTCAAAAAATGTCAAAAAGACAACTCTAATTACCTAGGACAAAATGACGTTAAATAAAATAGCGTACACAGGTAAATTTAAACAAAAAGATTTTGTTGTTAGGAGTACGGAAATATTTTTTTACAAAATGTACATTTTCGAAAAATTAAAGATTTATATGTAGCCATTAGGTAACAAGACAAAATGCTCCTTGAACGTTATTTTTCTCCGTTTCTGAAACTTTCATATGCAGATATTACTGAATGTTCATAAGGGATTTTGATGACCTACCAACACATTTGATCAACCTCAGTCTCAAACCAACCTACGTCAGATCAACCATACAACATTATCTGGGAAATAGATCAGGTGAAATTGTTTTTAAATCTCGGGCACTAATGATATGATTACCTCATCTTCCCCTACTCTTTATAATTCAGTATTACGCATCAGGTATAGGGGTAGTTGTGTACTTACAAATGTATAACAATAATAATGCGATGAAGCTGCAAGTGTAAATTTAAATTGCTGGCTTCATTGCTCATCTGACAGATTATGATGTTCTCTTTTCTATTGCCTATGTTGAAATATTTAGGTGTCTTGTGCAAGTCTGAATTTAATATTCCTTCAAATATATCAACATATGGACTCGATTTTGCCGATGAAGGTAGAGCGTTCCATAAGCGTATAGTACTAGGTAATAAGCTTTTTTGATATAACAATATATAACAAAACGGAAGCCTAAAATTATCCACAGATGATTGTTGTCTAGGTTATATGTATGCACATTTTCCCCATAAGGTTGAATGAGGTCAAACAAATAGTCATGAGCATGCCCATTTACTATTTTTTACATGAGTATCAACTTATGTTCTTCACGACGCCTATATAAAGGTTCCATTCCAAGTTCCTGATACAATTTCGATTTTGAGGAGTTAACTCCACCGCGTCCTGTTATAATTCTACCTGCTTTCACTTGGACACTCTCTAACAAGTTTGCTTCCTGGAGAATGAAATATTATAATGTTATAATGTTGATATTAAAAAGTACAAAAACAAACATCAAACTAACAAACTAACAAGAAATAAGTAAAAAACATTTAATACTAAGTAATGAATTTGATGGTGGTCATAATTTCTTAGAGCACGCTTATAGGACTTAATCTGTTGATATAGAAATCATGCATTCTTACACTCTGTTATCGTCGTCTGCTTTTCCGAGTAGATTTGATGAATGGTGCAATAAAACAATTTTATGAATTAAATAAATATATCCGAAACTAGTTAGCATAAAGCAGTCGAACATCATTTCGATAGTAGAAAGAACGAGCGAAAAACGTGAATGGATCGATGACTATAATCCCTTATATACTTGTTTTTTTTTAAACAATAACATCCTTTTTGAAGGTGGTCTTACAAAGCAGCTTACCGAAATATTTGTTTTCAACTCGTAAATATCTACTTTCAAGAACGGTTACACGCATTCCTTTGGAAACATGTGGTCCTCTTACAGTCAACTTGTTCCAATATTCATATGAAGCAAAATCCACACAGGAGCTTCTTGAAAGGAAGAATGAAAAAAAGTTGCATTATCCTTTAACTTTACGTTCCGCTATACAGATGATGTCCTCTCACAAAATAAATGTAAGTTTGTTGACAATGTTGAACGCATCTATCCCATCGAACCTGACGTAAAGGATATCACAGATAAAGTTAATTCTACCTCATATCTTAACTTGTATCTAGAAATTGACAGTAAGGGTCGGTAAAAACAAACTTTAAGACATAAAGTATGAGTTAAGTTCTACCCTTCCAACTGTGAAATTTTCATTTCTATGTAGCAACATTTCAGCACCGCCTGCATATGGAGTATATATTTCCCAATTGATGCGATATTTCCAAGCTTACATTTCCTATCATGATTTCTTTGATATAAAGTTTCTGCTAACAAGGAACATATTTAACCAAGGGTTCCACGTGGTAAAAATGAAGTCATCCCTTCGAAAGTTTTATGGATGCCATCATCAGTTGGTTGGCCGTTATGGAATATCTGTGTCACATATCACTACGAATGTTTACCCCAATTTTCGTAAAAATCAATCTTGACACCATAAATTGATTTGATATACCATAGAATGTATACCTATATCTAAGTTGTCATTGAAATACTAGCACAATAAGATGATCTTTTGTGATTTTTTTAACCAAAAATAAACTTTTCCTTAAATTAACCTTAATTAACTTGCAAATTTGAACATCAACAAACTAAATATTTACATCACGTAATTATGTCAGCATTAGACATATTTGTGCAAAATTTCAACGGCGTCATACCCATACATTTCTCTTAAAATTAGTTATCCAATTTTCCAAAAAAAGAATATGCAAATTTCCTTAATTATTATTTGACCAACTGTGTGAAATTTCGTTGTGATACCTACACATACTTTTTGAGTTTTTCCTCGATGCGGGCCCTAATAATTGTTTCAACAGACATACTATTGCACATTAACATTTTTTAAATAGCTGTAATACGCGGTAATAGGAAAGATAATTCAGAAAGACTGCATATATTCATTTCGATAAACAAACTGATCGCAAGAGAGACTGAAATGAGGTGGTGCATTGGTGATAACTTTTCGGATTAAATATCATGAAAAGTCGTGAAAAAATATTTCGTAATAAAAAAGCATCATAACTGTGCATGTATTTGAATTTCGGTGTTGGCAGAGATGACAGCGATGCATTGAAATTATCTACAAAGTGGCAAATATTGATAAGTTATCTTGACTTATTGAGAATATTTATTCAGTTTAGATATATAATAAATTATGTCGGCTTGTTGAGATACTAAGTATATTGACTATCTGTGAAAATCTAATGCTGACATGATTACGTGATGTTTGTAAGAAATGACCTATCATATAAAATAGACAACTTCCCGTTAATTCAGGAAAAGTAAAGTTAAGTATTTTTTATTTAAAGTCGGGTTTTCATATATACAAATTAACATACAACATGAGCTCTTTAGGGCTCTTTAACCCACTGATATTTGATAATAGTTATAACAGAATCAATCAATTGAAATAGCAACAGATACATAGTTTTATAGCGTGGTTCAGACAGCTAAAAAAAACAACAACAACATAAATAGCACAATCATACATTATTTTTAATTCTTTATTTGTATTTGTATACAGCATACATTAGTACAATAATATATAATAGGCGTTTTCAATGTGCTTTAAATATACATGTATAAATATACTTTAGTAAATATGTGTATTTTACAATATATCTAAATATTACATTAAATTTTTAAGAAAATATAGATTTATCGGATGCATATCAGGAGTAAACACATTATTCTTAGGCATACACGAAGAGGGAAGTCCTTCTATAATCAACGACTTTCAATGTCGTTAACAAACAGCAGGTAAAAGTCTTGACCTGTTTGGTCATCGAACCATGATCAAAGTGATTCACCTTTACCTGTATTAAATATGCGTGCTATTTATTTGAACGTAAACAAATTATTATAGTATTTCCTGATTCAGAAAGAAGTTTGGACTTATGAGACCTTCGTAAAAGATTTATTCATTCATACCGCTATAATACTATGAACTTTTAATTTGATGCATTTATTTAAGGCACTTTTAGTGAGCAATTACTGAGAACAACAAATATGATGCTTACTATCTTTATAGTAAATAGTATTGCTATCGGTAAGTCCATATACGCATAAATGCAGTTCATTATATTTGATACTACGGTGAAAAACACAACAAACACTTTTGCATAATAAATTAGTAATTTGAAATGCACTATTTGTTATTTTGCAGAATTTATATTCATATATCTCAACTAAATTAAATAAAATATCCTGCCTTAAAGAGTTTTATTTGAATTTGAGTTAATTCCCTTTGAAGGTTAAACCTTGATTTCTTTACGTTAAAGAACGCCAAATTGGTCCTAGTTTGGGTTGTGGCAATGAGGTTCTTTTGCTTCTGTTTTGTCGTAGCAGAACAACTTTTAATTTTTTCTTTCTCCCGCTCCATTTATTCTGACATACCGATTTGATATATTTCGTATACATGTACATATGCTTCCTGTCAATGGACGTTAAAGCAATAAACATTTTATTGATCATTTATTAATTTTTATTCTTAACCTATGTTTTACTTCATAGAAAGAGATGTCTCATAGCGAAAATGGTTGAATGTGCTTCTGCATCGAAAGAAATAAACATAGATTTTAAAACGACGCTAATTTTGACCGGGTAAACGGAATCGATGCCAATTCCTTTACCACGTAAACAAATTGAAATAAGGATATCCGTCATAGTTAACCAAAGAAGCATGTGTGGGTGTATGTTAATGATATGCAGTTTTATCAAGCTATGTAAATTATCAATTAAATAACTTGCTTGACAAAGATACAAACAGTCGTATCATCATAATGCCACCTGATATTACTTTTGCACATTCTTTAAAACTAAACCATGACGAAATCATTTTAAAACCCCGTTTTCGGGTTGAGTTCGTGTTGTGCAAGTTTTATGATTCTATAGATTGTTTTGTGGTCTGTTGCTTTTCTTTTCGCTTTTTTTTTTTTTTTTTTTTTACCATTGTGTCGTCTTTAGACTATTTCGTATATTTCGTTGAGCAATAATACACAGCTTTGAAATGAATTACATTTTATTGCAAAAATCCATCAAACAAACAAAATATAGTTCATGTGAAAAATGTAAACATTATAAAAAATAGAATAGTGATTTGAATTATCAATGGCGTATTTAATTTTTGTTTCTTCTAAACTTTCTTCTTTTAGTTGTATTAATATAATTCCTTTGTTTCATAGAGCAAAAACACATTTGTTTTTTTTACATTGATTTTCGTAACCGACCTGCGTGAATATTATCTTTAGAAAGCGATACCGCTTTGTAAATGTTGTACGAACACTTTAGTTTTATCAAAATCTTTGAGGTTACTATTGCTGGTTATGAGAATTTTCTTTGTATATCAATGAGATATTTTCTAAGATATTTGAGATTCCTTTATTAAAACTGCATTTTATGAATTATTGGTTCTTGAATGCACAACTTTCCTCGAATATTGGCACTAATCGAAAAATATCCAAATGTTTTAGCACAAGTCAAGGCTCAAGTCTAGACTCAATCATTGTAATTCATGTGATCCGAATATATAGAAATATAAATAACAATTAATCTAAATGATTATATTGAAAGTTTAATATACGTACAGGTAATATTCAAAACTTGAGACACTTCTATTTAGTTCAAGGAAAATCTTCCGGCATTTGGAAAGACGCGAATCTCCACGTTACATGTCGATACACATCTCTTGGTCCAACTACACCACGTGATACAAATTGGCCGAAAACATCCTTTGAAATATTTGAAAGACAAAAGTGCATACCAAAACTAACAAGCGCTAAAATTCAAATAGAAATGAGTTTAGAATTGCGTGCACTTTAGTTGTTTTTGAGCATATTATGACAACTCGCATGCTTTCAACGAGTTGCTGTAGTCCTCGCGTTCAAATAATGAAAGGAGGAGAGGACTAGAGACATTGCCACCATGCCATTTTGTATAGCGACACGTCTGACATTAGATCAGGGACATTGCCAATATGGTAGTGTGTGACTGACCAAAAATAAAAACATATCCATAATTTTCCGAAAACTACGATGTATGCTATTTATGAAAAAAAATCAATCCTTCGTAATAGTTTACATGTTAACATGGGAAAATATGTAAAAAGCAAGTATGACTATGTCATACTGAGGTCCTTTGTAGCTTGCTATACGACATGGGTTTTGTTAATTGTTGATTGCCGTATGGTGACCTATAAATGTTCACATCTTCGTTCTTTGATCTTCATGGAAAGTTGTCCCATTGCATTAAACTAGATAGAGAGCACAGCAGTTTAGAGTATTTTGAAATTAAAGTAACTAAACCGACCTCAAAAAACGATTGTCAGAAATTTGATACAAAATAACATCAAACACATCAAGCGCTTTCATGCTTGCTCTCATTGGACGTAAGAAGTACAAGAGAAAACATAATAGGTATGATGCCCATGAGAACGTTATTGTTTTTAAAAGGTGCCGAAAATTTGCATTTTATCAACTATTTCCTTTACACAGATATGTTTTAGCTCATTTTGTTTTCGCTGTCAATTATTCAGATATATCAACGAAACAGACTACAATATAATTGTTCTATTTATCACTACAGCTGCTCTTACATTAATATGAAGAATTCAAATTAAAAGAAAACCTAGGAAAACACATTATCTTATGTATTTGATTGTCAATCTATTAATCTTGACAAATACACTTTTGATTTAAACAATGTTACACTTCTTCCATTTCAGGTTCATACGCAAATTATTTTCCACTGACCGGGACCGAAATCCGACAGAAATCATTTGAGTTGAAGCTTCCTTCCAGTTTGACGTTTCCTTTTATGGATACATTGTATGACAAATTATATGTGAGTGCATTGAAAAAAGCTTCGAAAAATAATCTATTCCCTTCAATTTTAAGTTAAATTCTGTATTTACAAAATAACTGTTTATAGCCTCGATCTCATCAAAACAATTAACTAAGCATACGTGCTAACATGTCTTTTTCCTGATGGTCTTGTTAAAGTATGTTACATATATTTCTTCTTTAATGATTTGTACATTGTACAGGGTTTTAAAATAAAATAACTCCTTCACAATTTAGATATTTGTAGTATAACAATCGTATTATGAATATTTATATGATTTTTGTATATGAGGTTTTGTCTTGACAGATTTTGAAAGATGGTATGATTGGATTTCATTCAAATGTTGCTTTTAGTGCAAAATATTATTCCACCAGCTTAAGCAGGAAAGATCCAGCGTTTATAGCCCCTTATCATTATCATGGATATGACACTCCGGGTATTGCTCGTCCAGGATGTTCAGGTCCCGGAAAAATACTTTACAGAAGTGGGACAGGTAAATCAGCCTCTCAAATTCCAGTGGATGAGTTGACTGTATACAACAACCTCGTACAAAAGTCATTCGTTGGCATGAAACAATTTGCAGCGAAATGGACGTTGATGGTTTCATGGGAAAACGTTTACAGGGACTTCGGTGACTCCTTTGACTGTCAGGTATAAAAAAAACACATGTTTAAAGTACGTTTCAGTTTCTTCAAACAGTATAAATAAGAAGATGTGGTACGAGTGCCAATGAGACAACTCTCCATTCAAGTCACAATATAAAAAAAAAGTTAACAATTATAGGTCAAAGTACGGCCTTCAACACGGAGCCTTGGCTCACACCGAATAGCAAGCTATAAAGGGCCCCAAAATGACTTTTTTATATATATTTAGGATGAGGACAAATTAACAATAAATTCATATGGTAGATTCTGACAACAAACGAAGGTCAATCGGGATGAACGGCGGAATTGAAAACTGCCACTGAAAAAGGGCATTTGAGATACTTATGGTTATATAGCTATTCTCGTGTTTAGGTCTTATACATCCTTGGATTTATAACATTCTTAACGAAATATTGATGTATTTAACTCCTTTGAGAAAGAAAGCCCCCTTTTTGCATGTATAATAGAGTCATATGGGAAAAGGTCATGGTAAGTATCTTTGTTTACTTTGGGTTGAAGAAGTTATGGTTACTATTTATTTTTAAGATTTATGCATTAATAATCGTGAGGATGGTTTGTCAAAGTTGTTTACAAAGTAACACCAGTTATTCCAAAAATATTCTATTCCAAGCCCACTGTAGAAATGAACCTATTCAAAAATTCAATTTACTCAAAATAAATATTGAAATGGCACGAATTAATTGATTGAGTGGTTGTTTTTTGTTCAACGTCACGTTGCACATATTTCATGCATATTCAAAAAGAAAACAAATTAACAATTCATTTCATAGATAGTTTCTGGAAAGACGGTCGACTTAGGAGGAAGGGCGTGAATTTAGGACTGTCACTAATGGAACACACAAAGTATTGTAGCGAGGGTTATTTAACGTGCCGAGAGTGTTGCAAACCACATGCGCAATACATTGTATTACACGACCACGTTCCGACCGGACGTGTTTATAACCCCATACAGCCAAACGCATGAACTAATGGGTGTTTATAGCTATTCGTAGAGCTTGTGCTTCTTTTATTACATAATAATGCATTTATTGTTTCAGACATATACATTTCAACTTCTTTTACTGACAGACGGAAATACAAGTTTTGCTATGTTTAATTATCCGGGTGTAAGTGTGGATGAAAGTCATTTATCTTCACACTTTATTCAGGTATGTATAAAAACACATATTGTATTTGTTTATCATGGTCATTTTCACAAAAACTTTCATTTGAAATTTCTCGGGGGAAATGTACCAATGGTTCCTTATGATTTGGACAATAAATTGTGTGTATCACATGTACATTATCTCATATTTTTAAAGACGCCAAACTAAAAAAGGTACATACTAGCTGTTTGTTTTCAGAGTACATTTGTAACTATCTTCATGCTGCTGGTAAAATGTGGCAATGAATTTAAAAGTGTGTTTGTTTTATGAGTTTCAAAGTTTAAACTTACAACATATTTATTGGTTGATTGTTTTTTTTTTTTTTTTCTTTTTTTTTTTTTTGCATAACGTACAATGTCAAATATTTCATACATATTCAGGACGAGAACAAATTAACAATTAATCAAATCGGTAAATTCTGAAACGCAGGTCAATCGAGATGAAGAGTGGGGAATTAAAAACTGCCACTGAAAAATGGCATGTGAGATACTTCTGGTTATATAGCTCAGCTCGTGTTTAGGTCTTATACATCCTTGGATTTCAAATATTTGGTTTTGAGCGTTCTTGATAAAAAAAAATGAAGAAAGGCTGCATAATTAATAAAGTGTTATTTTCATCAAGATAGGGATGGAAATCTTACCTTACAACAAGCCTATCTAAGCAAATCTACAATTCCCGCAAATAGTTGTTGTAAGGGTTCTTTAACGTTCAAGGTATATGAGTGACTCTCTCACCAAATTCTGATTCAACAGCTCTCATTAATGATGCAAAAATGATTAAAGATAAAAAAAATACTTCCAATGTGTGTTCATCGTTTGACATCTCAAATATATTTTTTAATTACATTGTGTATATAGCGTATGTTCTGTCCAAACTGAACACATTTGATTCATTTGTAGACCGGTTTCAATGCAGGAGGTGGGAGAGGGTTTACGCCTACAAAAATAAACTTATCAGAGAGATTTTTCTATAAAGTAGACAAAAGAGACATCGTTCACGGCGGCTGCACAGACGAAGGCAAGGGTAATAATTTTCTTGTATTTAAAAACTTGTTTAGGGGGGAATTAATGAGGACTTACGTCACAAAACTTTCCCATAAAATTTAAATTCCGTTAAGGTAATCTTTTTTTTTTAATGTAATAAGATAAACACGTTGTAACTATTAACCAATTGTCTCCGTCTTTCCTTAGAATAATGTACTGTTTCAAAAGTATATACCACTTCTGGTGGCCGTTCTTTTCAGGTAATCTGGGGTCTAATAACTTTAACGGTACTTACTTTACCGGACCAGATGCTCATTTTGACAATATATATCGAATTAATTAAAAGGTATTCAAAGCAATATGCATAAACACATCTGCAACGGACCGGACAATCTACTTTCTGATTATTTTATGAATTTTCCATGCGTTACATATCAATGAATAAATAGGTAACATATAACAACATATAGATCAATGAAAAATATATCATACGTGTATTTATAAGATGGTACATATATTATAAGGAACAATCAGCATCTATCCCGAAATAGTTAGCATGTTTGGTGGCCAAATGGTTGAAGTTTTTGGACCATGTTATCCGCCTGGAATCCAAGTAATAAAATGCAGATTTGGCAAAAATGACCATTTTGTGACATATGGATTCCAAGTTGATGCAGTGAGAGTTAGATGCTCTGTTCCTTTTTTAACGTTTAAAGGATGGACCACAATAGAACTTGCTTTAGGTTTCAATCAGTACATGTATTCGACGAATATATTTGTTGGTAAGATTAATCATCCTTTAAGTTGAAATAGAAATATTAGGCTTTTTCAAATGCTAATCCTGTTTTTATTTCATAAACATCAATGTTTTATACTTTAAAACATTGTGTGATGCTATTAAATAAATATCTTCATTTAATAATAAGCCTTGTAAATAAATTTTTAGATTCTTTTCTCTAATTTGGTATAGTGAAATTTTTAATCGAAATATTTGACAACCAAGATATCAGAATACACATGTACTCCCTCGTCAGTACTTAGATGTTATATCAAGTAAATTTGTATATTGCACAGCACTTGAAGATACTGCGAATAAAAGACTAGGTCTTCCATATCTTGGGAAACATTCTGGATGGAATGAAACAGATACGAAAACGTTAACAATCACATGGGATAGTACCAAGTTAACGTACGACATTAATGCTAGGGTCAAGATCGAATTGATTGGATATAGAGAAACTGACACCGAGGTACACGATTAATATACTAATAACTACATATACATTTAATTTGAAGTTATGTTCAAACTGATAACATCTATACAAATATGAGGATGTTGTATGATTGATAATGAGACGCATATCCACTAGAGACCAAATTACGCGGGTGTAAATACCTATATATGTCACAGTTCGGCCTTTAACAGTGAGTTAAACTCGTATCATATAGTACAAAATAAGAAGATGCGTTACGGTTGCCATTGAGGCAACTATCTACTAGAAACCAACGATCTCTTTGCAATCCTTTGCCATGACAGGTTAGGGTTAACTGGATTGATAATAATATATTTGACGGTTAGAATAAAAAGTTTGTATTTTTTCAATATTCACATGTAATTATTATTTTCCACTTTCTTTTTTTTTTAATGTGATTATTATTTTCCATTTTATTTGTTCACAGCCTATAAAGTACAAACTTTTGGGAAGAACGATGGAATTTCTTCCACAAATATGAAACAGTAAAAATAATACGATATTTAACGGTATAATTTAACTTTTAAGTCTGCACAAAAACAAGCCGATTTCTAAGAACTGATTTCACAGTTCGTTATTTTATATCGGTTATAAAGTAGTTTAGTACTATACTGATTGAAATACATACATTTTATATACATTTGATTTGAAGTTATGTTCAAAATGAAAACATCTATACAAATATGAGGATGTTGTATGATTGAAAATGAGATTCATATCCACTAGAGACCGAATTACGTGGGTGTAAACAACTAATATGTCACAGTTCGGCCTTTCTACAGTGAGTTGAACTCGTATCGTATAGTACAATGTAAGAAGATGCGTTACGGTTGCCAATGAAGCAACTATCTACCAGAAACCAAGTAATGCAGATTTAAGCAACTATATTGCACTTAACAACGAGCAACCATATTGTTAGCCATAAAACAGCCCAAGCAGGACAAACGTGTTAAACTATTCCAAAAAGAAAATCAACTACCTGATGTATGTGTAAACAATAAACGAAAATGAATATTATAGACAGCAACAAACGATATTAGCTTAATTACAGTCTCCTGTCTTGGGACAGGCACATTATAGGATAAGATACATAGGCCCTGGCATTACAAATGTGAAACGATTCCAACGAGAATGCCAACGACCTAATTTATTCTAAAACAATAAACGGGGGACAATATGACATACATAAACCAACGACAACAACTGTTAATATTGTACTTGGTTTTTTTTTTGTTTTATGTTTTTGTATTGCAGATACAACAAGCAACATTATTAGAAATAGGCGAAAGACAAGCAACAGATAATACTTTAACATTTGATACAGACAAAAAGATGTGTGTTAGTACGTTTTGTACGGACTATGAAATCGGATTTGTCAAAGTTGAACTGAAGAACCAAGCGCTAGCAACCAGTCATAGGTATATATAGTTCATTACTGTATGGAAATATTATTTAAGAGGCAACTCTAAATTGCCTTCAAATTTGTTTAAAATAATGAATCAATTCGTCCAGAACCAATAATAACATGTCATTTTTTTTCAAGATATCAGATAGCTGAAGTATTGCTTGGATATTACGTCAATGTAGCAATGATAAGTCAGTTTGGAAAAGATTGGCCAAAGATGAAATGCAAACAATGGTACAACAATGATAAGATAAATGTTGCATGGGTAAACGGATTATTGCCATGTCCTTGTACTCTTACACAAGCTTTTGGTGATATAGGGCGCTGGAAAGCTGATGATGGATGTGATATTGATAGCGGAAGTAGCTGTACTTATCACAAGGGAGCTGTGCATTGTGTTAGAACTATAGAACCAACGTAAGTGTTAAAAGTTGTCCAAACACCTGCAAGATTGTAAAAGCGTGCTGACAGTCTTGAAGATAAAATATAAATGAAATATCACTTATAACAAAACCCAGGATAATTGAGCAATATGATATCATTTAAGTAATCTTATGGTTAGCCACATTAATAAGACAGTAGTAACTATCCCTTCCGGTACGTATAATTTCTATTTAATTCATATCGTTCTATGATATAGTAGGCTTTTGGATTTTTTTAACAAATAAGGAGATGTGGTTTGTTTGCCGATAAGACACTATCCAATTGAGACCAATGGACGACATTCATAACTACAGGTCACCATACGACCTTCAACAAAAAACAAATTCCTAAGTATATATAGTAAGCTTTAAAAGGCATGGTATGACAAAATGGGAAACAATTCAAATAAGAAAACCAACGTTCTGATTATGCTCAGACAATAAACGAAAAACAAATATTGCAGATAGCAAACAACGACAACCACAGAACTACAAACTTCTGACTTGTTTAAGGAACATTACGAATTTGCGGGGTGAAACCTGTTTATGACCACTCAATCCTCCCTTAACACGATACAAAGTCGCAACAGAACAACATAAGAACAAATGATAAAATTCAGTTGGAAAAGTCTTGACTTATCCGATTGACACAAAGTGCAACCAAAAACAATAAAAAGAAAAAAAACCACAAAGAACTGATCTTAGAGAACTGTTAATTAAAGCAACAGTAGTTTACCGATGTTCAAATCTTATAATTTAATTAAGAAGATAAATCAAGTTAACAAGCAAAAACTGAGCGAATCGCAAGTTGTAAGCTAGTTCAAAACCAATTTCAACCACTGAATACACCTTGTTATTCAATATTACGATATCAATAAGATCACATCTAATGGATTTAGGTTATTTTGTTTTCATTTCTTCGCTGTCTTGTATTTTTCATAAATGTACTATAATAGCCTCTGGATTTTTGTAAATTTTTTGACACGGTTTAGTTACTTCTTCAAAAATTTCAATAGATAAATTGTGCCTTAAATCCAAAGTTATGCTAGGGCGTACCAAAGTATAGTCCTAGCATATAGCAGGTTTGATTTTAAATTGCCCCTCTGGATTTTTGTAAAATTTTTGGCACGGTTTAGTTTCTTCTTAAAAACATTCAATATATAAATTGTGCCTTAAATCCCATGTTACTCTAAGTTATGCTAAGGCGTACCAAAGTAAAGTCCTGTTATCTTTGTTGAGTTTTTTTTATCCGATCGAAAAATCTGACCTAAAGTTGTCATATATTAAAACGTATATATATGTTATAAAATAAGGTTGACTTGACTATGTGGTAAGTATTATCATCCTTTATACAGACCAAAATGACTGATTTGCAAGGTATATCATATGTATCCCACACTATATCGTATACTGGTCCGGGACGCAAATATTGTCCTTTGATAATAGTCCCTAGTGTGGACAGTGTTTAACTTGTAATTTTTTTTTAAACCTTCCGTTTTTCAAAAACCATTTTCTTTGAAAAAATCAAAATGTTGACCACATACAATTTGATATAAACATCGTCGATAATTTAAATGATTACTTTATTTTAAACAGACATTAATAAGACAAATACAGATAACAATCTTGACATCTGTACACGTGTAACTGTATACAGATAACTGTATAGACATATGTACACATGTAACTGTTTACAGATAACGATATAGACATCTGTACACATGTAACTGTAAACAGATAACAATATAGACATCTGTACACGTGTAACTGTATACAGATAACAATATAGACATATGTACACATGTAACTGTATGCAAATAGCAATAAAGACATCTGAACATAATCAATTATACAAATAACTGTACATTTTTAATGAGGAAAAATGTCGTATCAGTTTACGTAAAATTGTATAACAAAAACATTGTTGATGGATTACCCGAAATATATGGACGATAACATTTAATATACGCTTTGAAATGCTATATAATAACTTTTAATTGATAGCTTGGTACGCCAGACCCTATATATGACTCATCAGTGGCGCTAGAATCAAAGCAATTAGAAGGCCAGATCGATTACGATGTTGAAGAACTTTAAAATCTGAATATTCCGACTAGTTGTGCCAAATACAACTACGGGTAAAAATCTTTAGTGTTTTTAGGAAATCAACATTTTATATACAGTGAATCTACAGAAAATAAACATATGCCTGTATTTCAGTGGTTGTCGTTTGTTACTGTTTATCATTTTCGTTTATCGTTGAGTTGCTGACCTTAGTCTGTGATGGAGAGTAGTTTCATTGGCAATCATATCATATCGCTTTCGAAGAGGGGCGAAAGATATCAAAGGGACATTCAAACTCATAAGTCAACAATAACTGACAAAGCGCAGAAAACGGAAAAGACCAAAAGACAAACAACAGTATACAAAACACAATATTGAAAACTAAAGACTGAGCAACACGAACCCCACCAAAAACCGAAGGTGATCTCAGGTGCTCTGGAAGGTAACATGTGGCACTCGTCGTGTTGCTCATGTAAGTACAAACCCGATAATAAGTCTTATTTGGTAGGTCACATTCGTGGAAAAGGGAACGGGATTGTAGTTTTCCAAATGTCGTTACCACAATCCCGTCCTCTTTCCCCGAAAGTGACCTACCGAATTAGATTCAGTCTTTAGTCTTCTAAGTTGTATACTGCTGTTTGTCTTTTGTTTTGTTTTTTTTTTTTTGTATCATGAGTTTGGATGTCCCTTTTGTATTTTGGCGCCTCCCTTTTTGAATAACAATATCCTCAGTAACAATTGGTTTGACTAAAATATTAAAAATAATGTGACATATTTTGTAGTTATTAAAGCACATTTTTGAATTTGACTGAGTCATTCTTTAAAACAACTATATTTTGCATGATATGTTTCATTTACTTCATGCGATTCTTGATGCACAAAATTGAATCATACAAAAAAGAGCTTTGTGACAACGTATCGCAGTCTCAATAGGCCGAAAGTTTAGGCTATAAATGCTCTCTTATTTAGAATTTGTTTTTGTTTATTCTTATTATAAATCAAATGATACATAACACCTTTCCATTGTTCCATTGGTGGGCACTAAGCAGAATAACATACCAATGTAATCCATTTCAGTTTCCGGACGTTAATTTTAATTTTAGATATTTTATTTACTAGTACATGTATAACCTTATTTATTTCGTTGAAGAACTTGAAGAATGGTATACCTTTTTATATGTATTCAAGTGTGCCTAAATTCAGCGCACACTCGAGTGTTTTGTAATTGATCATATGTTGAAAAAAATTGTTTACTTTCCTATTTTTAGAATTGACGGTGCAGGTAACCAGTGTTGCTATGATAAAGATGGTAATTTGATGTTTAATGGTGACTCTTATCAAGGCAGTTCATCAGATCGTTCTAATCCTTTAGGGATGTTTCCATACCAACGCCCAAAATCTGTTCCCTCTGTGTCACATTGGATACAAGACTTATCTCCGTACTATTATTGTTGTCTGTGGTCTAGTTATGAGTATTGTGATATGTATACGAAACTAAGGCCAACAGTAGATTGCACTAGGTATACCCCACCAACGCCAGGTACTTACTATTAACTGTGATATTGATATTTTATTATTTCATTTAAAGTCATATGTTATATGCATATTGTTTTACTTTTGTTTAAATTCTATAATCTATTATTTTTTAATTAGTTCTGTCTTCAGCAAAAATACATTTGCCTGGTTTAATTTGTAAATTTTAATCCCGCTTTGATATATAGAATAATAAAATCATAGAAAACATATCAACGATTTGTATTGATTTTCTCGATATTAACAAATGCATAAATATTTTGAATTTACTAGTATTCCTATGTTTAATACAGGAATAATTTTCGGGCAAGGACATGTAAGAACGTTCGACGATTCTTCTCATAGAATATGTGCAGAAGGTGACTATATTTTGATGACAATTCAAGCTCCGGAATTAGAACAGGTTATAGTTCAGGGAAGATTTTCAGACAATGTTGTACCGATAGATGGTAAGTACTCAACTTATAAATTGTAAATTGAGACGATTGTTGTTTGAATTTTTAAGCAGACCGAAAGATGATAGAACAATGTACGTGCTTAACTTTACATCTAATCAACTAAATATCAAATAAGTATATATACAATCAGCTTGTGTAAACTTATGTTTAATAAGTTCCCCTTTTCTGTATTTTTCTGATCTTTTGTTGAAGACTATCTGAACAAAAAGTAATGTAATTTCAAACTTCTAAAACGTTTCAATCGTTATATTTAAAAATACCAAGATAATTAAATACATAAAGAAATCCTTAAATAGTTCCTTCTATTATATTTCTCGTGGTAAGCATAAACTGGTATCCAAAAATCTTTTTAAAACAAAATGTGTTGTGTTGTTGTAGGCATGTTGAATAACAGTGTTACCTTAACCAATCTTGCGGTCGAGGTCGGTGTATTAGATACTGTGGAAATAAGATTGAGGCCACCACTACTAGGAAGACAGAAAAGTCATCTAGAAGTTGTTGTAAACGATAAATACTTCTACTTTAATACTAGGTCAACCAGATGGCAGGATTTTGAGAGTTAGTTTTCAATACATTACACTTTATAAAAGTTTTAAGTTGTCAGTATTTAAGAGGATAAACCTATGTTTTCGTTATAGTTATTGTCACATGTAACATTTTTCCTGGTTCAATAATTGATTTGTATGGAATGACAAACAAAATATACAATATATGTAAATTATAATCGTATTATATCACTCGGTTAACAGCTCATCTTGGTCTAACATAATATTCAATTATAAGGATATTTAGGCTTACAAATGTGATACAAATACAAAGTTTGTTAGTTAACGTTTTATTAGGAACAAATATGCAAACCGCTCGTGAACATTTTGATGATAACAAGTCAATAAATGTACAATGTGAATAAAAACTTCTCATATAATTTATTACGAAATATCGGAACATCTTGAAATCTTGAAATTTCATTTAGTATTATGTTTCGTATCATAAAGAGATACATTAGGGTAGGGTACGATCTTAAATGTTTTTGAAGTGAACATGTTTTATTCCATTATGATCCATTATGCTATTTTGCAAATGTATGTGCTGTTACCATAATTTTATCTCTAAATGGGATAATCAATTGATTTATTGAAATAAGCTAAAAAATTAGTACCCTCTTCTCAAGATGTTTTTGGATAAGTGAGGTCGCTTTTTTAGTGAAACTGAAAAGGTCATTCGGATAAAAGAATAAAAATAGGATAAATACAACATAACGTACCAAACAATTTATGATGATATCATATCATTAAAACAAATTTAGTGGTTAAAGGGGAGGTAGAGAAACAAAATGCTTTACCCCTTTTGAAGATATGGTAGTACATTTGTATTCATTCATGATAAGAAACTTTTATGTGTTAAAAGTATAACAAACAAAACCGAACTCCAAGGCATTTTTTCAGAATGTTTCAGTTTATTTTGGACATGAAAATCCAGAATATTTTGAATTTGAAACAGAATTATTTTAATTTATTTAAATTATTTATTTATAGAATTTTCTGTTATGAATACCAACAGTGTTAACCCTGAAGAACATGGTAATTTCACTATTATTCTAAAAAATGGAATTGGAATCCAAGTTGCAGTAAAAGAGCATATTATGACAGCATTGTTTATGATTCCAGAGATACTTAAGGTACTGTAAACAAGAAATATTTACAGAAACAAATGAAAACTATGCTATGTTCCCTTTGGAAGCATACTGGACGTTTGATGAGGTCTGTTTTGCACCTTTTTTTTTTTATGAAAAATGAACAAAAGTAAGTGGTGCAATACAAAATTCAGATACAAATTTTGAAATAGATGAAACCTTTTCTTTTTCAGCATAAATCAAAGATAAAATAAAGAATTTTGAAAAATTCAAAAACAGGAAAAAATGGAGAGTTGTCTCAAAAGTAGCGTCAATCGTATATATCAGTTAAATCAAATTGCAGAAAGTCTTAGAGAAATAAATTGCCTTCTGTCCGTAGAATAAATAACCGATTTAAGAATATCATTTTGGTAGAAGCGTTTATTTAGGGCATAGTTTATTCAAAGAACGTCCGAAAAAGACTTATTTGATAAATAAACATTTTTCATCTCTTCAAAATTTTCAAGGACAACAGCAGTATTTGGTTAACGAGTATATCTATGTGTGTAACAAATAACCAGATCTAACTTAACTTAATAAAATTTTCATTTTCCATATTCAGCCTTTTGGTTCAAAGAATGATACTTGAATGAATTTATCAAGTTAATTTTTCGCAGATCATTAAGCACAGAGGTGTATTGCAAAGTCAGTGCGATATCACAGAAGAAACTGCTGTTGTAACCCCGGTCGTATTTGTCCTTTCATATAAGGTACAAAATTGCATGACCTAAGAAACAAAAAATGTTGTTTTGAATTTTTATAAACGCAGATTAAGTAGTAGCCATGCAAGCTCAGATGTAATATTTCGCTTCTTGTCCTTTAATGTTTGCAGGGTTATGTGGATGGTTTACTTGGTAATTTCAACATGAATCCAGATGACGATCTTGGTGGTGTATTGAATGGTGCCAGCATCTTAGAAACGTATCACATGTTTCAGTATAAATGTAAGCACCTACATAGTATATTACAAGGTAAAAGTGTAAATTGTTATAAAACAATCCCTTCAATTTGTAGAGCTTTGGCAACACTTATGTTTTGCTTTGTGGAACCTTAATGACTATTAAGATCAAAAGTGAAATAGAATAGACATCAGCATTTAGAAAGAAACGTTATCAGCAATCAAAGCTGGGCTTCAAAGTTATTGTGATACTAAATATTCTAGAGGTGGCGTGAATCAGATTTAGATACTAAAAAATTCCTGCTTTGTCTTATGAAAAAGAACGTAGCTACAAATTTCTTGTCTTAGGGAAGTATAAATCGTACTTTGTAAAATATCACTCAGATTCAAACAAAAAATTCTCTGAAACTGACATTATCAAGATGCTTGATTTCTTGATTGACAACATATTTGTTACGTTTGGGGGACGTGTTTTCAACAAACAATCGGGATTCCCATGGGAACCAACTGTGTTCCTCTTCTTGCCGACTTGTTCCTTTATTCATATTAAGCATACTAAATACAAGAAATTCTTAGGAAGAAAGAAAAGAAGTTAACTGTATCCTTTAACTTCACTTTCCGCTATAAAGATGATATTCTCTCACTAAATAATTCAAAATTTGGTGAACAATGTTGAACGCATCTATCCCATCAAACTTGATATAAAGGATACTACAGATACAGTTAAGTCTGCTTCATATCTTGATTAACATCTAGAAATTGACAATGATGGTCGGTTGAAAACAAAACCTTACGACAAAAGAGATGATTTTAGTTTCCCAATTGTGAACTTCCCATTTCTATGTAGCAACATACCAGCAGCACCTGCATACGGAGCATATATCCAAGTTGATACGATATTCCAGAGCTTGTATTTCCTATCATGATTTCCTTGATAGAGGGTTTCTGCTCACAAGGAAGCTATAAATCTAAGAGTTCTAAAAGGTGAAGTTGAAATCGTCCCTTCGTAAATTTTACGGACGCCATCACGAGTTGGTTGACCGTTATGGAATATCCATTTCACAGGTGCCAACGAATATATTCCAATTGTCGTAACTATAATCCCGTCCCCTTTTCCTCTAATGTTACCTACTGATTTATCACCGGGTTTGTACTGACATGAACAACATGTCAAGTGCGACATGTGGAGCAGGATCTGCTTACCCTACCGGAGCACCTGAGACCAGCCCCAGATTTTGGTGGGGTTCGTGTTCTTCAGTTTTTAGTTTTCTATGATGTGTTTTGTGTACTATTGTTTGTCTGTTTTGTCTTTTTCGTTTCTAGCCATAACGTTGTCAATTTATTTTCGACTTATGAGCTTGAATGTCCCTTTGGTATCGTTCGCCTCTCTTTTATCTGAAATTTTAATTAAAATATAATGAATGATCAATAAAGAGCTTCGTATACAGTGTACTTACCACTTCCTGAAGAAATGGATTTTTTTTGCTATGGCGAATATATGCACAATTCCATTAGGCGCGTAAGATTCTTTATCTTCTCACAATGCTAGTCGTCATAGATTTTTAACACAAGACAATCATCAGTTAAAAATGTTAAACAACCTTTTCGACAAAACTAATGATGATTCGAATACCATTAATATAATTTCGCCCCTCTTCATATACCGAAAGACAAGAAAGGGTAAAAGGGGAAATTCCCGATGTCCTATGTTAGTTATACGATGGGCGGGAACAACACTATCGAATTAATTTTAGGTTTGTTTCATATTAATTAACTCCTCCTGAAGTAGTAATAAATCATTGGCTTTGAATTATTTTTAATGAGCGTTTCTTATGAAGGCAAATCTAGAAAAGCGCTTTGGGTCCACCAAATGTATAATATTGCTTTTATTCTTCAACGGTTTTCAATTCGCAAAATTGGGAGTTTTTTTCTGTTGAGTATGCGATTGTTTTAGGGATAATGTTGATATTGTTAACAATAGAAGTTTTTTGTTACAATTATCATAAGTGTGATATTGCAGGGGCTGTAAACAACTCAGTTGATTCTGTTATGCAAGTCAACATAAAACCGGAAATCAATGCTGTATCCTGTTCTGCTGATGTTAAAATAATAGACACGATGTTTTGTGGAAGCAATGAAGCATGTAATTTTGATTTTGCCTCGACTAGAAATCAAGATGCAGCAAAATCTACATTGTATATGTCTGAAAGGATGAACGAAATACGCAGCTTTATGAAGCCTGGTATGGATTATAATTAGAATTACATCTCGATTTTTATGGATTTGTTTTTAATATAATAGAAAAATAGATATTTGTTTCTTCCAAATGAGAATCAGAAAAAAAATGATTGGGATGTTTTGAACTTAACTTCATGACACTCCTTTAAAATATTGACATTTTGCTATTTTAAACCCTATCATTTACTTACAGTTTTGTAGTAATGAATGGTTCAAGTAGAAAGAAAATAATTCAAAATTGTAGATTCAGATTACAAAATCTGTGTTTTTACATACGAATTTTGCAAGGCCATCCAGCAGGAGATCTAGTGTCAAAATATAGCCTCCCCTGCAAACAGTGAAAACTTGCTCTTTTCAATTTTTGGTTTTGTTTTAGTAAAGACGATATCAAATAACATTCAAAAGAAAATGTTCTGGTAAATAGAAAAAATAAAAATGAATTGGAATAAAAACGAAATTTTCATAAAATGTTATCATTTTCCTATTGAAATAGCAAACGTCGAGTACAGCAGGCTGTATGTGTTTTGTGTGAAAGAGCTTCAGATTTTGTATGTACATGATTTTTTGTATTAATATAAATATTTACATATTTTTTTTTAATTTCAATTAAACACAAATTAACTTTTTTTTTTCTTTAAAATTTACGATTGCTGTTAAGAAACAACTTTTAATCAGTTTCGTCACTGGCATTGTGTTACTATTGATTTTGTTGACATTTTTATAAGAACAGTTTTTTTTTCTCTAGTTATCGTGTCATTCTTTTTGCCACTGATCGTTATGCAAGCTTTTACAAGTTAAAATAAAGTTACATTTAAATGATAAGCTGCACATATAAATGCAATATAGAAATACTTTAACCACTTTTTAGCTCATTTTTTTTTATAAAAAATCTTCTCCTCTGAAACTACTAGGCCAAATAGAATCAAACTTAGCCACAATCATCATTAGGGTATTCAGTTTAAAAAATGTATCCGATGATCCTGCCCGCCGACCAGATTGGCCGACATGGCTAAAAATAGAACATAGGGGTAAAATGCAGTTTATGTCTAATATCTCTGAAACTAAAGCATTTAGAGCAAATCTGACAACTGGTCAAAATGTTCATCAAGTGAAGTTCTATCTGCCCTGATATTTTCAGACAAATCAGACAACCCGTTGTTGGGTTGCTGTCCCTGAGTTGGAAATTTTAAGAAAATTTTGCAGTTTTTGGAAATTATCTTGAATGTTATTATAGATATAGATAAACTGTAAACAGCAATAATGTACAGCAAAGTCAGAACTACAAATAAGTCAACATGACCAAAATGGTCAATTGACTCCTTAAGGAGTTATTACCCTTTATAGTCAATTTTTTGCAATTTTTCGTAAATTTTTGTAATCTTTTATAAAAATCTTCTCCACTGAAACTACTAGGCCAAATAGAATCAAACTTAACCACAATCATCATTAGGGTATTAAGTTTAAAAAATGTGTCCCATGACCCTGCCTGCCAACAAAGATGGCCGACATGGCAAAAAATAGAACATATGGGGTAAAATGCAAGTTTTATCTATTATTCTGATAACCGTTATACAAAGAGGAAATCTGAAAAGGGTAAAATTGTTCAGAATGTTGAGCTCTACCAATTATCCATATACGTCAAAACTGTAAGACAATTTCCTGTAGGAGTTATTCCCCTTAAATGACAAATTTTGCCACTTTTTTCGATTTTTTGCGTATTATCATATTTTGAAAACTATAAAAGATAGAGAGAAACTTCAAATTACAAAAATGATCAGAAGGACATGTTCTACAAATAAGTCTTATGGTTGAAATCATCGGTTGACTCCTTATTAGAGTTATTTCTCTTTGATGCTGATTTGTACAATTTTTTTTGCGTTTTTGTCTTATATCCTAAAACTTAAATATACAAAAATGATCAGCAAGACAAGATCTACAATTAAGACAAATGGCAGAAATTGTCCGAAGACTCCTTATTGGAGTAATTGCATTTTAATTATGATTTTTACCATTTTTTTGGCGTTTTTCCTTGTATAATATTAATTATAAAAGATAGATAGAAACTTAAATAATCAAAAATGATAGCAAGACGAGACCTACTAACAAGTCAAATGTTGCTGATATAATAAGTAGACTGTTACTCTTTATAGGAGTTATTTTACCCTCTTTTGTGTTTAGAGCAAAAGCTAAATAAGATCATGAAGATAGAGAGAAACTAAAAAGACTTCAATGATCAGCAATATAAGATACAAAAAAACACAGAGATTTTTGTCATTAATTCTATTCTCGTCTAAGAGTGTCCCCTGTTGAATATGCAATATGAATATGCGAGGTAACCATCAGTGAAGTAGCATCCACAACTATTGATATTTTGAAATTAAATACATAATATGGGGATAAATCTTACTTATTTGAACATGTTATTGCTCCTCTAATTACTAACATTATATGTTTATCGAAAGATGATGGTGTTTTTTTTCTTATTCGGTATAAAAAGGGGGTGTTGGGCATATGGCATCGAGATAGCAAAGCAGCATCACGTAGATTATTACAGGTCCAAATTAAGTATCAACTAAATACGAATGTTATATATGTTTGTAAATATGCATTTCGTACAATATTTTTTCAACAGTGCAGTCCTGTGGGTTTCTAGACATCCAAGATGCTAGAAAAAGTAGTAGGAATACTAACTTAGGAAGCACTGTGACCATAACAGGTTGTTACACAGACAGAGAGCCAGCTGAACCTACTACATTTACATGTATACTTTCTGGGGGAAATAGTTCCTCATGGAACCCAAAACCGACACCAGTTTGTTCAGGTAGGTAATTTAAAAATACGTACATTAACTCTGTCTTTGAAAGACAACATTAATAATTAATTAACCAGTTTTTGGTGGGGTTTGTATAGTAGTCTTTAGTTTTCTATATTATGTTTTGTAGTCTGTTGTTGTTTTTTTTTCGTCGTTTTTCTGATTTTTTCATGGCGTTGTCAGTTTGTTTTGACTTATTAGTTTCAGTATTCCTTTTGTATTTTCTGCCTCTCTTAAGATCGAAAAACTATATTTTCATCACTTCTCCAGACTAGTAACGTAACAGGAAAACTTATTATACAAAATCTTTTGATCCTCTAGACTTTTCCACGGACAATGTCGTTTACGGAATTGAATGTACTTTGTGTGGGCTACTTTATGTTGGTGAAACTTGGCATAAAATGATGAATCAAAACCGTTTTGATAACAAAAATCCGCAATTCAGGGGTCTTTATAACCATTTTAATCAACGAGACCATGATCCTTCTTTACATATGAAAGTACGCATCATCGAGAAAATTTATCACCACACCAATAGCCCTATAAGAAGTACTGCTATCCGAAAAGATAGAGAAATATTCTTGATAAGGGAACTAGGTACTGCAATGCCATATGGTTGCAATGATAACATCAAAGGAGTAGGATATTTGTCAAGTCCAGCATACAGTAATGTAAATGTAATGAACTTATATAATACTACCTTAAGACCCCATCGTAGTCATTGGCAAAAACATTACCATCGGCCCAATGTTAAAAGGTCATCCAAATCTTGATCGCCCTCTGGGAGCTTTGATGACCTTTTGTCACATTTTCATCATCCGCTATGGTTACATTACATTAGAACTATTTTTTTTTCACTGCCTGTTAATTTTCTAAAATATTTGCACCTAAAGTATTTAACTATAAGCAAGCAATGCAGGACCTTGGTTAAGAAGAATACACAAAAAAACCCTCTGACATGTGACTGTTCATACTCGCCTTATATTTAAAGCCCCTCTGGCCATGTTATTACTGGGGATCTAAAAATAATTCAACATGAACATCTCCGAAAGGTGATATCTCATGGTCCTAAGTTCAGAGAACCCCAACACATCAATTGGAACCATAAATTCAAAATATTTAGGGATTCCATTGAGGACTACGCCAGTGCATGGGCTAAACGAGAAGAAGTTGAACTGGACACTTTATCTAAATTGGTCAGGTCTCTGATGAAACGTCGAATTCATAAGTAGAAAACTGTGTGAATTATCGACCAAAGTCTGTTTTCAGAGACAAAGAAGCTGTGAAATGTCTATCATCTCTTCATGATGAATATGTTGTTCTTCCTGTGGACAAAGCTTCAAATACTATTGTCTTTGTATGTAAATCGTACTACTACGAGTGTCTTATAAAAGAATTAGGAATAAAAGAGTTTCAGGTAATCCCACATACAAAAGTATATCATTTAACAAGGATGAAATTTTGCCGAATCATAAGTCCTTCGTGGTTTCAATGAACATCACTTTGAACAGCAAATCTGATGACTTACCTTATTTGTATTGGATACCTAAGCTTTACAAGATGCCGTAAAACAACGGTACATTGCCGGCTCATCTGCATGTTCTACAAAGGAATTGTCCATTAGATTGACAAAAATTCTGTCCGCAGTGAAAGAGGGTCTTCAGAAATTCTGTGAAACTGTTTACTCGTATAGTGGTATTAGCCATATATGGATTCTAAAAAAAAAAACTCTAAAGAACTTCTGGATAATTATAAATCTCGATCTTTCTCTAAAATTAATTCTATCAAACATTTTTGATTTTTCAACCCTGTATACCACCATTCCCCATATGAAATTGAAAAGTCGTCTAAATGAAATAATCCACAATGCATTTTCATATAAAAATGGTAGCATACGCTATACATTTATTGATTTGGGATACCATACGGAATGTTTTGTTAATAGTGAACAAAAAAGTAAAATATGCTACACAGAAGAACAAGTGACCAGTATGCTGGAGTTTCTTATTAACAACATATTTGTTGAATTTGGAGGTAGACTTTTTCAAAAAATTGTCGGCATTCCTAATCCGATCCATTTCCATTATCTTCAGATACTTGTCATAAATAAGAAAATCAAAGAATTCAGATCATTTAATTTCACATTCAGATATATTGATGATGTTCTTTTCATTAACAATTTAAATTATTTCTGATTGGGTTCCATTAATATATCCTCTAGAATTAGAAATTAAAGAAACAACAGACACGTCTTCCTCCGCCTTATTTAAGCAACACATAAGCGGTCATCTCAGTACCAGAATCTATGACAAACGAGACGATTTTAATTTTGAAGTTATAAATTTCCCCCACATTAGCAGCAATATACCGGCATATGGGATATGCATTTCCCAACTCATTCGGTATTCAAGATACTGCAGCTGCTACTCAGACTTTATAAAACATCACCAGTGTCTGAGCTGAAAGTTTATGAACCAGGGTTATGTCAAAGAACGTCTTGTCCTTTTTCATCAATTTAGATCCGCAAGTATTTTTTTTTTATGTTAGGTAACAGATAACCCATTACATCTGCTCCATTTCAAGTAAAATTTGGCATCGATTTACTTTAGATGAGTCCGTTGTTTTAACTCTACTCGACGAATGTAACTCTCAGCACGTACGTTCAGTCACATTGCAGTCTATCATGTTGGGCTCTTTTTCTCCCTCATCACCCGGGACATTCCTCGTGAAAATGTTCTGGTTTTTGTATCACCATATGGAATGAAATGTAGCATATATTTCCAATCACAAAAAATACTTTACAACGGTGTTTACGTAAGCCAGTGTTGTGCGATCACAGTTTTGACAAATACTGATATTGTAGATATACAAATGCGATAACCCTGTTTTGCGGAATAAAAAAGCCAATGGCATTTGTTGGTAATATTGAATCAAATGTATTACGATCCTTTAAATAAACTTATTCTAAAAGTTTACCTATTCAACACTGTAATTAAATCTTTGAATATTGTTTTATTGGTATAATATTGATTTTGTTATCGGTAAATTATAACCATACTAAATATTACACATATTTACTTTCAAGGTACTACAATCTGTCGATACCTATATTTTAGCATTGCACAAGGTCATGTTTTTCTCTGACTAATAATGACGTCTTTACACTAAATCCATTGGATGTTGGATGTGTACTGATTGATATTTTAGTCTTAGATACATGATTTTTTTTATTAGTTGTTTTTGGCTTTGAACTAGCTGTCAGTAACTGCGAATAGTCTCAGATCTGTACTTAGTGTCTTTTTTGTTGTTAGGGATGCGGGATGGATATATACCCTGCCACGTCCTGTCTGTGTTTTTGTTTGATGTTTTTCTTTGTATCGATCTGATGAGTTAGGCCTTTTTCAACTGATTTTTATAGTTTGTTCTTATGTTGAACTGTTACACCAATGTCCCATGTTAAGGGATTACTTAAAACACTAATTGCGCCCCTTTAATAGCAGATTTATTCCTGTATTGCTATGAAACATATTTTATGGCCAAACTCAGTAAAGACACGTCATTGTTACATTTGGTTGACACATTTAACAATACCTACCGTTATCTTGATGATATTTTTTTCGTTAAATAATCCAGAGTCCTCTAAATATACTACCTAATTTTACCCAAAGGAACTTACTTTAAACAAATCTAACATAAACAGCAGTAGTTGTCCTTTTTTAGATTTAGACATTTCAATTTCTAAAGAGAAACTCCATACTAAAATTAACGAAAAAAGAGACGATTTTGCATTCCCTATTGTTAATTTTCCTTTTTTAGACGGCGATGTTCCTTTGGCTCCATCATACGTTGTTTATATATCGCAACACGTTCGTTATGCCCGTGTGTGTAGTGATGTCATAGATTTTAACGAACGTAATCAATGCATCACTGTTAAATTATTAAGTCAGGGATTTAGTTACCATAAATTACTTAGAACATTTACTAAATTCTTTCATAGATACAAAAATTCGACTTGTAAATTTCGCTGTACCTGTAGAAAACTTATTAAAAACGGTACTTCACATCCTAAATTTTACGGTAATATTGTACTAAAAGCGCGGAAATCACTATGTGATCCGTGGAAACTCATCGAACCTTTAAACAAACTTATTAAGGTTATCTTATTAATGTTGTAATAAGATCTTTGAATATTGTTTACATTGGCGCTAACATCGATTTTGTCATCAACAAATTAAAACATACCTAAATTTGTATTCTTTTCGAACGGTTTTTGGTATGTATAAATACACATCCACGTTTATTTTCTATTTAGAGATTGCTTTATTTATATACTAGTATAACATTATACATATTTATCATAAGGTTAAATCCTAACGATCCTACTGCCTGTCGATACGTTTTTTTTTTGCATTGCACAAGTCATGTCTTCTTTGACTGTCCATGGCGTTAAAACACTAAATTCCTGGGATGTGTTTTAATTGATTTTAGTCTCTAATGCATGATTTTTATAATTAATTGTGTTTTGCTTTTAACTAGCTTTCAGTAACTCCGAGTACTCTCAAATCATTCTTTCGTGTTAATTTGACCTGTTGACACAATTTGTAATGCATTTCTGTAATTCAATGTTTACTTATTTTGTTTTATATCTCGTCTCACTATTTTTAATATGTACCACCTTTGATAAGTATTTAGTATGATGATAAATTTTCACTTCTGTTTACTTCCGTACTCTTAACAAAAAAATTATTATATCTAAATTTAGCTTTGTACGTTGTTTTATTTAACGCCATTTTGTCCAAGGTTAGAGATGTCTTTTTGACACTGTTCCTACATCTTTTTTTATCAATATTGTATTGATATTGTGTCATAGATCAAACTTATTCGTTCAGCGTATGTTTAGTTGTTTTTGTTTTTGTTTAAATGTATTTTTGATCGAGTTAAGCCATTTCAATTGATATTTTATAGTGTGTCTTCTTATGTTGTAGTGTTTCACTACTGTCTCAGGTTAGGGTGAAGGTTGGCGCCTGTTAAAACGTTTAAGGCAGCTGCATTTTTATGCTCTGTCCTAAGTCAGGAGCCTGTTGTTCAGTGGTTGTCGTTTGTTGGTGTTGTTGGTTCCTGTTTGAATTGTTTTACACTAGTCATTTTGGGGCCCTTTATAGCTTGCTGTTCGGTGTGAGCCAAGGCTCCGTGTTGAAGTCCGTACTTTGACCTATAATTGTTAACTTTTTATACATTGTGACTTGGATGGAGAGTTGTCTCATTGGCACTCATATAACATCTTCTTATTTATATTAACCCCGCCACATTCCTTATGTGCCTGTCCAAGTCAGGAGCCTGTAGTTCAGTGATTGTCGTTGGTTCTTGTCTGTCATATTTGTTTTTCGTAAATTGTTTGTTATAAATTAGGCCGTTAGTTTTCTCAATTGAATTGTTTCATATTTTTCATGTCGGGGCTTTTTATAGCCGACTATACGGTATGGGTTTTTCTCATTGTTGAAGGCCGTACGGTTCATTTGAACTTTGGTGGATAGTTGTCATATTGGCAATCATACCACATCTCCTTATCTTTAAATTAATTGAGATATTTGTGAAACTGTAAGTCGGAATTTGACGCAATATTAAACTACGACGTCCAATGCAGTGTTTTAAAGAAGAAGAAAAGCATGACATTCTCTTAAAAGGTCGGTGTCATATCTTTGTTTTTGTGTCTTATTTGAAGGAGTACTTAAAGTAATTTTCCTATTTTTAAAACAACGGTTGATATATATAGATTCTACCACTGCATCGAGTGTGATACGATATTCATCCACTCGAGACAGTTAAATTTTCAAATTTAAAACGCGAGGCTCGCCGAGCGTTTTAAATATTTAAAATTTAACTGTCGAGAGTGGATAAATATCGTATTACACGAGATTTGGTGGTGGTATCTGTTTCTCTAATGATTTTCAAACAATACGCAGGCAAATTTATTCCTTCTTTTCGAATGATCTGCAAAAAGATGTGTTCTTTCTATGTGACGTCATCAGGCATGGTCGCCTTTTTTCATGCCGTCACAATAGGAAATTCAGAGGAAAGCAAGAAAATTCGATGTCATAATCGGATTTTAACCAATGAAGAACTGAGATCAAACGAACCACACGTTGATTAAATTTTATTTATACAATGGGTGCAGAAAGGGATAAATTGACGAAGAATTAGAGAAATATATTTATAATACTGGGAAAGTATTAAACTTTAGCATATTACTTGTGACTGGTATTTAATCAATCCTAACACCCAAAACTTTAAAGACATTAGAACATATGTTTTAGAGTCTTTAATTGATTGATACACATCTTGTTACACACGAAAACATATGGTTCTGGGTTCGATATTAATGGGTAACTATAAATTTAGAAATTATTGCGAGATTTTTATCAATGCGAATAATGCGACTGGGTGAGTATCGCAATAATAAAAACTCGCATTCTGATATTTTATTCTTATTGAATATATCATTTGATCAAAGTAATCATTTGATGTAAATTACCCAAATATTAGAATTGACGAACATACGCCATTGATGACTTGATTTGTATTTCACTTCAACAAATAACAAACACTGATTTTGTTTGGATATTGAATTGTCATGCAACATTTAATAAAAATACATACAAACACCAACAACAATAACAGTACACAACCAAATTATTTGTCAATAACAAAAAAAATCTTGATAATCTTGATGACGATTGAACTAAACACTGAATCACATCAGGGCGATCCAAAGTTGATGTACTGAAGGGTGGTCCATTCGGCAATAATTCAGAATTAGCAGCTGGGCTATCCATAGTCTGCATAAAATTTCGCTCCGGTTGTGTGATTGTGCTTCATTGTGTTACCATGACGGATATTTGTATGAAGACTGGAGCATCTGAAAAATAAATAAGACCAACAGCAAACAAAGTTCAATTTATTAGGGTGGGAGAGGATGGGTCTCAATTTTTTCAACGTCCTCTCCGTTTGGTTTTCAAGGTATAAGTGACTGTTAAAATGCACAGAGTTTTACGGCTAAACTCTCACATGCTCAAAATAGCATAACAATAGGAGTGAAGGACGACTCGATTTGTCGAGTCTATCAGTACATGTATCTGTAAACGAATTTAATTTTCATTTAATTGAATTCTAATATATCTGTATTAAATCGCAATAATTAATCTCGCATTTTTCAAAAGTCGCAATGATAAATGCACGAAGCATTTTTGAATTCACATAATCTCAAAATAACAATCAAATAAACTACGTTTTGGAAATTCTGTATTAATAAAAGAAGTCGATAACCTCTATTTTTGTTTCTTATCAACTTCCCCAAGTGATTAAATACAGTACACACTGGGACTTGATTAATCATCAGCATCCCCTATGTCTGACATTGGATGTCAGGCATGTATTGGGGGTCATATACCATGGACTGCTAGGGAAGAGAAATATTTTTACCTGCTGGGCCAATTAACAGGTGGTAATCCAGGTTGACTATTTTGTTTCATATTTTGTACCTGCAATGGTTCATGTTTACCGTTGTTTTACAGGTGAACTTTGGATAGGAAAAATCAATAAAACAGTAAATGAAAAATCCTTTGTATAATTATAGAAGATATTCATAAATTGTATATTTCCAAAAATTATAAGATCTAAATCATATGTAAATGCTATCTTTATTTATTAATAGGATGTATGATAAATGATCAAAATTATTATCATTCAAATTTTACTCATTTTGTAATATATTTCAAATAAGTGCTAAGGTTAAAGGTTATAAGAAAAATAACTAAATGTCATAAAATAAAGTCAAATATAAAAAAATATGCTGTTGTCTGTTGTACAGTGTGGAGAGATTTGCAATTCCTGTCAACCCTTTTTATTTAAAAATTAAATAAATCACATGACAAATGATAAAATTGAAAGTCAAGTTTAGATACATATGTCATTATTTTATTTCAGCTTTTTCTTCACACTGATTTAAGATAACACACTACTGTTTGACAAATGTAGGACAGAAAGTCACAAGACAAAAACTCACATCTCTGTTTTGAGATAATTTTTCTTTGATAAACAAAGTGTTTTATCCAAATTTTTTTTTTTTTATTTTTCTTGAATAATAATACATAATACAACTTTGTAAACAAAATTTATTGTAAAAAAATAATAATGATCATATTATCATATGATTATTGTTATGAAAACAAACTGTCTAACAATAAAAAAAAATATTATTTGAAGGATTTCCCTTTTCTTGTTCAACATGTTCAAAATATAGTAAACCAATTAATTGTGACTTCTCCTATTCAAAACTGTAGTTTAATTAAATAATGATTTTTTTATATAAATTGAAAATAGATCTATGGATTTTATAGCAAATGTCCAGTAAAATTAAAAGAATCTCACTATACATGTGATACATAGGAGTCACTGCTTTATTATATGCATGCAATAAAGTATAATAATTAACAGAAAATAGTCTAAAGTAAAAAGATGATAATGTTTAAAATAGCTTTCTCATAATATTATTACTAATATATTTCAATTGTTTAAAATTCATTTTAATATATTTTACCTGTAATTTTATGTGTTAATCCCTGTTGTATTTTATTACCCTTACTGAATACCTGACAAATGTATGACCCTTGTTTTTCACCTATTCCCTAATTACAACAGGTGCTCTGATCAGGGACCTAAATGCCCAGCATGTCAGAACAACAAAAAATGCTCAGCATTTTTCAGACTATGTCCCAGCGTGCACAAATTATACTATTATAAATTTACAAATCCGCCAATGCGTGTCAATCGCCAAAAAAATCGGAATCTTGCTAATTGACAACTACTTCTAAGTGGACATATCAACATATTTAAATATCGCTGGCATTTTTATATGGTTACTTTGTGTTAATATTATTATTATCATCAGCATTTCCTTTTCCTTTTAACAAATTGCATTAGAATGATGGATATTTAAGTAAATAAATAGAGAGAACATGGATCATTCAATAGACTATGATTTCGTGATTTCTAAAGGTTGCTTTTATTTCGTTTTATTTCAGATAATTTCTTACTTCATTTACTTTAAATTCATTATTTCTTTGCACTATATATTATAAGTATATGTTTGTGAAAACATCTGCATTATTACACTGATAATATTTTTCTGTATAGAAATACAATTTATTTCATAAGAGAGACGGGTTATTTGATTTTTCTTTGTGTCTTAAATGATTTGCGTTTTAATTTATTGTTTGTTTCATCAGAAACTGAATCCGTTGTCAACTCAGATGTTATAATAGGATTGGTTATTGGTCTAGTTGCTGTCATTGTAATCGTCATTCTTGCCATAATTTTTGTGAAGAAATTCATGATGACGAAACGAAAGTATGTATATTAATCATTTCATATTTCTAGAATGCTTAAACGAGTGTTCCATAATTGAGAACTTTGTTTGTATTATTAATGATTTTGTGTATTGCTCATTTAAATTATCATATTATCAATTGAAAACAAAATCATCAATATAACTTAATTTTCTTGTCCAGTGTTTAGATTGGTTCAAATTTAAATAGAATAACAATATAAGAAGTTGTCTCATTGGCAATCATACCTCATCTCCTTATTTTCATAAGAAGGTCGAATAAAGGAAGACAACAACGCAAAAACAAAACAGATTAAAAGACCCACAACATATCACAAAACATGCACAACACAGAAAAAAAACTCTTTCAGATTGTACACACGAAACCCAAAACAGAAAATGAAAAGCTAGAATTGAACTTAATTGTGTTGGATGGGTAATCACTTCCTGTTCCCGTAGTGGCCGTTTTGATTATGCCAAGTAAAATCAACTGGTGTAATGTACAAGAGAAAACAACGGATTGTAAGATTGAAACATGGACTTGTACGCTGGATCATACAAAGACACTTATTGCAATTGTAGAAAAGATTGGTTTGTGTTATATTAACTCTGCTATGTGTATTTCACTATTTATATGTATCGAATGTTATATTGTAATATAATCTAACAAAATTTGCAGGCATGATAAGTATATGATAGCATCAAAGGGTGAGAAGACAGCAGATGCAGAATTATAAAAATGTTCATGCTAGAACTAATAGACTTTTCTTGTGTACTCAAGACAGATTGAAGATTGTGAGGAAATATTTAAAGCAGTATACAAATGATGTGAAAGTGGTGAAAATAGAGGAAAAACTGAGAAGAATTTTTTTGTTGATGTGAAGTTAATTTTCTACAAGGAAATGTTAGTCGACTAAAAAATCGATTAAATTTAGTTTGAAGTTAGAACCGTCTTGTTACGGTGGCGTGTATGATTATGTTTCCTAGAATCTTGCTTAATATTGTATAATTAGCATTCAGGTTTGATCAGTATTTTGTTGTACCAGCTTACCAAATAATCGTATCAAGAAGTACAGTCTCTTATTGAGCACTCGTCAATACATGTCTTGCATTGTGTGTTAGGTGAGGGTGTAGCAAAACGCTGCTTTGTCAATGTAACGGAACTATAAACAACTGTCATACAAGTGAGAGGTTTAGCTAGCTATAAAACTAGGTTTATATAAAAATAAGAAGATGTTGTATGATTGCCAATGAAACAACCAAATAAGATAGAAGTTAACAACTATGGGTCACAGTACGTTTACTCACCATTTTAATTTTTGGAAAATGCCTGTTCCAAGTCAGGAATATGACAATTGTTTTTCATTCGTTCCGTTGTTTCATAAAGTCTCATGTTTGATTTTGTCAGATTTTATGAACTTCTCCCTTTTTGAATTTACCTTGGAATTCGGTATTTGTGTTATACTTTTTTAGTAAACGGGGCTCTATAATTGACAATACTTGATGGGATGAAACAGTGTGTTTTATTATGTACCTCTCTACATGTAACTCATTCTAATCCCTTTGTCTTTCTGATTTTCCTTAAAACGACAGTTGTTAATGCTAGTAGTGTATTCCGGTAGAGAATTAGATTATATGTTTTATACGGTATAGTAGTTAAGGATCCACAGATTAAGTAAATATGTCAGAAAAATAGATTTTTACCAATCATAAGTTGATTGTTTTATTCTTGTTTTTCCTTGTACAATCGATTGTCCCTTCATGGTCCAAGTTGTTCAAATAATGACTATCTTTACTCGAAACAAAAAATCCAAACTGTAGAGGTGGGCTGTACTTGAAATATTAGATATGATAATAATATATATCCTTAACGATATGCAATAGAATATAAAATATATAAACACGGATATTGAGAAAGATGCATGGAAGAATGATTAACAGCTATGCAATGATTATTATATAATAGCATTGATTTTATGATAATTATTTTAAATCAGAATATATTATCATTTGATTATAAGAAGGCAGATTTGTTACGTTTTGTTTTTTAATATATTTAAATTATAAAGTTACAATAAATGTGTTGTATTCATTATACTTTGTAGCTAAATTTAAGGTTAAATTAATTTTGATTTCAATAAAGTATGCTGTTTCTATTTTGGGCAAATAGTTATAATCAAATTATTATGGATTAGAAGGAAAAGCGTTGTACTATTACATGACACATAATTTCTATACACCCACACAACAGTAATTCTAATCAAATCAAAGGAACAGCTCTCTTATGGCTGTTTTTTTATATCTTAAAGTCACAGTGAACCTTAAAAACATTGTTCATGTATATCCTTTATTTTCAGTGCGCAAGGACTAATTTTCCTTGAAAAAGATAACAATCCACAATGTAAAAAGCTAAGCAATCAAGTATCTCTATCAGATGCATCACAAATTCAACATATGTACATTTTCGAAAAATTAAAGATTTATTCGTAGCCATTAAGTAACAAGATAAAATGCTCCTTGAACGTTACTTTTTTCTATTTCTGAAGCTTGCATATGCGGATATTACAGAATGCTCATTTTTTTTGTATGCACTACCGACACATTTGATCAACCTCAGTCAGACCAAACTACGTCAGATCAACTTTACAACATTATCTTGGAAATAGATCAGGTGAAATTGTTTTTAAATCTCGGGCACTAATGATATGATTACCTCATCCTTCCCTACTCTTTATAATTTAGTATTACGCATCAGGTATAGGGGTAGTTGTGTTCTTACAAATGTATAACAATACCAAGATTAGATTATATGTATTAACTTACCCAATGAAACATATATCACATTGGGTTTGACGAATGTTATCCTGTTATAAGTGGACTTAAAATAAGCAATCAACAATCAATCAATCCTGCTATTAGATTAGTTTGATGAAAACAAACATCAGATAGAAGGCTTATATTTAAGTACGCCAGATGTAGATCTACGTTTAGTCTGCATAAAAGACTCATCAGTTGTGCTCCTATCAAAAACGGTTGTTGAAAAGCCAAATCAAGAACTAAGTTGGAGGGCATTGAAAACTAATAATTCAAAAAAGTTGTGCAAAATTTGATAAGACCATTTTTGTCTGGGGGTAGAAACACTTTATTTTTTCGAATTGTTAAAACATTTGATTAACAATAAATTCACAGAAAATCACGGTCTCAATGATATTGCAGCGCTGGCTACTGCATGGGCTAATGATACTCTCGTGCCGAAACGAAAAATAACTCTGTTGTAAGTCACATATCCTTTACCAGTCTATTATTCAACATATTTGTATCCTGAATTATACGGTCCTGCATTTCACTACAACTGCCAATTTGACGAAGCCTTTCTTGTTGTTACATACAAGAGCGCAATTAAGGTTCATGGTAAACCTTTTGGCTAATATGGCCGTATTTACACCACACATTTTACTCTGAATACAGACAAACCTGTGCACCTGGAAAAGTTTGCAGGCTTAAAAAAAAGGAATGTTAAATTACAGGTAAGTGTTTAATTTTCTGAAATATAATATGTATTCAAATTTTATTTACCTAGTTCCTGCCATGCCTTAAAACTTTTCTAGGTGCACAGGTTTGTCTGTACTCAGAGTAAATTTTGTGGTGTAAACACGGCCATGTTTTCAATTCCTTCTGATGAACCTTAAGTCATCATTGAATAGGAGATTAATATCAAAATTTGTTATATGTATATTTTCACAATATTATAAATAGCCAGTTGTAATGTGCGGGGTTTGCCGTGTAATGTCATTTCTCGTGTATTTATTCGTACAGAAATAACATAAAATTGCTGAAATAATGAGGATTTTAGTTTATGTGTTAAATAAAATAAAATAAAGAATAAGTTTCAAATTATGCTTCATTTAATTTCAGATGCAGCATCTGTTTCAAATGGATATTTAATGAAATGCTCCACTTTTTTTTTGTAGTAAATATGTATATAATATTTGTTTCTGTCAAATTCATTGCATGGATCTAAATCTCTTATACTGGTAAGACCATTATGATTTTATAAATCACAACAAATGAAAAAACATTTGATTTTGGATCAGTAAAATTGATGAAATCTTATACTTTTTGTCGAGCCTGCGACTTTTATCGCAAAAGTGAGACAAAGCGATCTTACATTCCGTCGGCGTCGACAAATATTCACTCTGTGGTTAAAGTTTTTGAAATTTTAATAACTTTCTTAAACATTCCTGCATTTCAACCAAACTTGGACAGAAGCTTGTTTATGATCATAAGATAGTATCCAGAATTAAATTTTGTAAAAACAAAATCCTGTTTATCCTTATTTTACTTCTTAGTTTTTCTGCCAGTTAACAGAACATTCACTCTGTGGTTAAAGTTTTTCAAATTTTAATAACTTTCTTAAACTATCCTGAATTTGTACCACACTTGGACAGAAGCTTGTTTGTGATTATAAGATAGTATTCAAAAGTAAATTTTGTTAAAAAAAATCCTGTTTATCCGTATTTTACTTATAAATTGACTTAGTTTTTCTGCCAGTTAACATTACATTCACTCTGGTTAAAGCTTTCAAAATTTTAATAACTTTCTTAAACTATCCTGGATTTGTACTAAACTTGGACAGAAGCTTGTTTATGATCAAAAGCTAGTATCTAGAAGAAAATTGTAAAAAAATTATTTCCTGTTTTTCCGTATAATACTTATAAATGGATTTAGTTTTATTCCAGTTAACATTACGTACAGTCTGCAGTTAAAGTTTTTAAAACATTTATTAGATTCATAATTCTTCTTGGATTTTTACCAAACTTGAACAGAACTTCTTACAATCAAAAGATAGTATCTAGAGGAAAATTTTTAATAATTTTTTCCCCATTTTTGTTGAGCCTGCTTCTTACAGCAAAAGTAAGCGAGACACTGGGTTCCGCGGAACCCTTACGAATTTTTTAAACAATGACTATATGGAAACACCGAAAACAAAAGACAACAAAAAAAAACATTACAAAAAAAAAAAAAAAACACCCGGAGAAAGCTTGAACAGTAAAAAATCATAAAATGATTTCGATAATCCCGAAAATTTAAATTAGTTAATGATTGCCAAACTTTATTGCAATTGGAATCTCATGAAATAAAAATATTTGCATATATAAATATTCATACACATTATGAAACACAAAACAAATTATTTGAAATAGTAAATTCCTAGAGCATGCATACGCTATTTCATGTTAATTCAATTGTATTTTATACGACGTCTTCTTACCCTCATCTTCGCTAGCCAAGGGTTACGATCCACTTCCCTCCTCTCCACAAGGGTTACGATCCACTTCCCTCCTCTCCACCCATTATTTAATGTGGTTGTGTCATTAGGCAATGTGGTTTTAACATTACTTGATGTGTACGTGACTTGACGTAATGTAGTTGTTTCATTATGTGTACATGATGTGGTTTTGTTATTTCGTATTGATGATTTGCCAATTCTTTATATGGCTTTAACATTACGTAATGATGTTTCAAAATTTGCCGATTTTACACTACATGATGTGTTTGTTTCAGTATTTGATGTGGTTATCCCATTACTACTACGAGGTAAAACTACGTGACCATTTTGGAAAAATATGTTCTATTTTTAGACCGAATTCCATATGTCGTTTGTGTAATGCGCTTTGGATGAGTACCGTTGTCCATTAAGTAAAAGTTCAAATTAAAGTTCAAGTTGTTGTTCAGAGTTAGATCTATTTGGTATGAAAAAAGGAACGACAGAAAAAAATAAGAAAGGAGTACTAAAAAATTAACAGTAATTCGGACATATCCATTTGGTCCTGCCGTTTTTTCCTTAGTTCTCAAATGGAAGCTGTAAATTAATAAATAAAGTAAATAAAAGATTCTTATAAACCCTGTGTCTCGCCAGATAATTCTGCTGTCAGTGTAAAAGCGTAAATTAAATGTTGACTGACTGTACATTAACCGGTACACTTAACGGAGGAAAACATGTTTTTCTGTAGATGCTTTTATCTTGATCTTGAAGAATAACTCCTATACAAGTTTTATAACAATTCCTGGAGGTTTACAAATTTATCATCTCAAAACAGTTTAATTCGGTTATATTAAATGCATTAAAAAAAACCTTATATAGAAATAAAGAAATGTGGTATGATTGCCAATGAGACAACTCTCAACCACATACCAAATTTCGAGTTGAACTTCGAGTTTGAGTCGCATTTAAAGATAGAGTTCCGAATTACAATTGGACTTCAACTTTAAATTTGAGTCACCTTTTGGCGTAGAGTTCGAGGTAAACCCTTATTTGAGTCTCATTTAGATTAAGATTAAGAGTTGAAATTCGAGTTATCTAATATGAGTTCTATTTTTTTTTATCGTGGATCAAGGGCTTTTGCTCGAGCTTCCGAAAAGAGGGTTCAGGGGTAGGTATGCGTACAAAAGATAAACAATTTTACAGCATACAAAACACAACATAGAAATTGAAATAAAGTTAGATGTGGTGTGTGATTGCCAATGAGAAAATTATCCACCATAGTTTAAATGCAGTGGATGCAAGCAATCATAGGCAACCGTACAAAAGACCACCACGTGAAAATGTGAAACAATTCAAACGAGAAACTAATGATCTAGTTTATAGCTAAACAATCTACGAATAAACAGCTGCCCCATGAGCGCATGATACGCCCGTCGTCTTGTGTGTGAATTTTTATGCAATAATCATAAATAGTTTCTGACATACGGCGCGACATGCAACAAATATGACACACATGAAACAACGACAACCATTGAATTACAGGTTCCTGACTTGGGGCAGGCATTTAAAGAAAGTGCACGCGGCGGAGTTTAACATATAGATATAAGAAGATGTGGTATGAGTGACAATGAGACAACTCTCCATCCAAGTCAAAATTTATAAAAGTAAACCATTATAGGTCAAAGTACGGTCTTCAACACGGAGCCTTGGCTCACACCGAACAGTAAGCTATAAAGGGCCCCAAAAATTACTAGTGTAAAACCATTCAAACGGGAAAACCAACGGTCTAATCTATATAAAAAACGAGAAACGAGAAACATTTATGAACCACATCAACAAACGACAACTACTGAACATCAGATTCCTGACTTAGGACAGGTGCAAAAAAAATGCAGCGGGTTTAAATGTTTTAATGGTACCAAACCTTCACCCTTTTTCTGAAACAATAGTGTAACATCACAACATAGAAAGACACACTATAAAATATCAACTGAAATAGCTTAACTCAATCAAAGGACATATTAACACCAGTGAACATACACTGAACAAATAAATTTGACCTATGATACAATGTAAATACAAAATAAATAAACTAAGGGAAGAATAATAAAAGTAACGTGTTATATCGGTATGAAATGTTAAACAATTTAAGAAAAACAATATGCTCGAACAAAAATATCAGCCATTAGCAATTATGAAAAATATAAGGGCATACACCACAAGCACGGTATGTATGTAAGCGCTAATCCCTATCCTAACCTAGTGTATCATAGCACAGCATAAGAAGAAAATGTAAAGACAGTTTATGAATTTAGGGAGCTACCATTTGATTTTTATGGGGGGGGCTAGGATGAAATTTGAAAAAAATAGGCAGAACAGGAGTTTTAAGTTAAAAAAAAGGCAGGATGAGCAACTTGGTAAAAAAAAAGGCAGGATGACAATTTGTGTAAAAAAATTCAGGATAAACTAGGGGAAAAAAAGGCAGGACCGAATAGAGTAAAAAATAAAAAGGCAGTACAGAGATTAAAACTAAAAAAAAAAGCAGGACAAAATTTTTCATCCTAGCCCCCCATAAAAATCAAATGGTAGCTCCCTTAGGTTGTTAGGTTTCTAGTTTGAAATGTTTTTTATATTTTTCATTTCGAGACCTTTTTAAACTTACTATGTGGTATGAATTTTGCTCATTCCTAAAGACCATACAGTCACACATATATGTTAACTTCTACGTCATTTGGTATGTGGTTGAGAGTTGTCTCATTGGCAATCATACCACATTTTTTTTTATTTCTATGTAAGGTTTTTTTTTGGCATTGAATATTACCGAATTAAACTATTTTGACATGATAAATTTGTAAACCTCCATGAATTGAGTTATTCTTCAGGACCAAGATAAAGCAGTGTTCCTTGGAATCATTGACGAATTTATCATAATACTGCTTCCATTTGAGAACTAAGGAAAAACCGGCAAGTGGTTTTGGGATATCCCCCTTATGTCCGAATTACTGTAAATGTTTTAGTACTTTTTTCTTATTTTTGTCTGTCGTTCCCCTTTTTCATACCAAATAACTATGAACAACAACTTGAACTTTAATTTGAACTTTAACTTAATGAATAGTGGTACTCATCAAAGGGCATTACACAAACGACTTATGGAAATCGGTCTAAAAATAGAACATATGTTTTCCAAAATGGTCATGTGGTTTTACCTCGTAGTAGTAATGAGATAACCACATCAAAGAATGACATGACCACATCAAATACTGAAACAAACACATTATGTAGTGTAAAATCGTCAAATTTTGAAACATCATTACGTAATGTTAAAGCCATATAAAGAATTGGCAAATCATCATTACGAAATAACAAAACCACATCATGTAATGAAACAACTACATTACGTCAAGTCACATGCACATCAAGTAATGTTAAAACCTAATGACACAACCACATTAAATAATGGTGAAACCACATAGAGTAATGACAAAACTATATCAAGTCAATACGAAACCATATGATGTAATATCAGAATATCATTAAGTAATGACTTTTCTATATTGAGTTATATCAAAACATCATGATACTAAACCCCTAACGGGAAGGATTGTGCCTGATATTCATATGATGAAGACATAATCTTTCAATCAGTTTAATTGAAGTCTGGAGCTGGCATGTCAGTTAACTGCTAGTAGTCTGTTGTTATTTATGTATTATTGTCATTTTGTTTATTTTCTTTGGTTACATCTTCTGACATCAGACTCGGACTTCTCTTGAACTGAATTTTAATGTACGTATTGTTATGCGTTTACTTTTCTACATTGGCTAGAGGTATAGGGGGAGGGTTGAGATCTCATAAACATGTTTAACCCCGCCGCATTTTTTGCGCCTGTCCCAAGTCAGGAGCCTCTAGCCTTTGTCAGTCTTGTATTATTTTTAATTTTAGTTTCTTGTGTACAATTTGGATGGCGTTCATTATCACTGAACTAGTATATATATTTGTTTAGGGGCCAGCTGAAGGACGCCTCCGGGTGCGGGAATTTCTCGCTGCATTGAAGACCTGTTGGTGACCTTCTGCTGTTGTCTGTTCTATGGTCGGGTTGTTGTCTCTTTGACACATTCCCCATTTCCATTCTCAATTTTATCATTACGAAATATCAAAATCATATTATGTAAAGACAAACTATCATCAAGTAATAACAGAACAACATAACGTAATATCAGAGTTCCACATAAGACAGCTGTGGCGTTCCATATTGCCGGGTCTTCCAATCCTGGATAACCTTAGGTCTGTTCTATGTTCCTTTTCAATTTCAATCAAAGATGACGAACTGGATCTTCCTTCATTGTATTGGATACCAAAATTACATAAGTGCCCTTACAAACAACATTGTATTGCCGGGTCTTCCAAGTGCTCCTCGAAACATCTTTCTAAATTATTAACATCACTTTTATCAGCACTAAAAGCCGGCCTTCAAAGTTATTACCAAACTACCTATTCTAGAGGTGGCGTGAATCAGATGTGGATACTAAAAAATTCCAAGATCTGTTAGAATACATTCAATCTAAGACTCTTTCATCTTGCAATAATACTAAAAAATTTGACTTGTATAAAATTGAGAATGGAAATTGGGAATTTGTCAAAGAGACAACAACCCGACCACGTTACACAAAACTAAAAAAAAATTGAAAATGTTGGTCTTGCTTTGTTTCATAAAAAAGAATGGACAACATAGATACAAATAACTTGTCAATGTGAGGAATAAATAGTACTCTGTAAAATATCACTTGATAGAGGGTTTCTGCTCAAAATGAAGCTATTAAACCAAGTTCCAAGTGGTGAAGTTGAAATCATCCCTTCGAAAAATCACGAGTTGGTTGACCGTTTTAGAATATCTGTTTCACAGATGACGACGGATATTTTTCCAATCATAGTAACCACAATCCCGTCCTCCTTTTCCCCAAATGTGACCTACCGAATTAGACTTACCACCGATTTTGTACTTACACGTGCAACACGACGGGTGTCGAATTTGGAGAAGGATCTGCTTACCCTTCCGGAGCACCGGAGATCACCACCGGTTTTTTGGTGGGGTTCGTGTTGCTCTTTTTTTTAGTTTTCTATGTTGTTTTTTGTATACTGTTAATTGTCTTTTGGTGTTTTTGCCATGTCGTTGTCAGTTTATTTTCGACTTATTAGTTTGCATGTCCTTTTTGGTATTTTTCGCCTCTCTTTAAATTATTTAGAGGTTACATTGTACTCAAGGGACATGTTACATTTTATTAGGCAATGGAAGATTTTAAATCTCATGATTTTTGAATATTGGATATTTTGAAAGGAAAAATTGCTCAACTTCAATGAAGTTGTGAAATTTGTCTAGGTGACATTCATCAATATCAAGCGATCGGAACTTTATAAACGAAACTGTTGCATACATCATAATGCATACATTTTAAATGAAAAAAAAAACATTTTGAATGATTTGTCATTTATATTCTAATAATGATTTTTTTAATAGATCTCCTGGTGATATTTTATAAAGATACTGAGTAGATAGTGACAGACATGAGGAAAAGTGTTTTATTAGTTTTGTTTGTTGTTCTTCTACTATGTAAGTATATTTGTATATGTGTTGCAAATTATAAATTAAAAGATGCATTATTCTTCAAAATCCTTATAAAACTATTGTCACATGTGCAAATTAATTTAAACATTGATTAATAATAAGCAGTGTTATTTTATTAAACTACCAACTATCTGCGTCTTACGTTTTTAAAGACTCTAAATTTGGGCGTCGAATCCCCTTATTGCCGATAAGAAAAATATTATGAAATACACAATATTACTTAACATTGGCCCTAATTTTCAATGGTGTAATCCGTTATGCAATCAATACTTTTGGACGTTTTACTCTAAAGCACCGAGGGTCGGTGGTTCTCACCGGGCACTCCGGCTTCTTACACCACCATAACAATCATTCAATAATTATAACTACATTTTTGTCTCGCCTGCGACTTTCGTCACAGAAAGCGAGACATAGGGATTGCTTTTCTGGCGACGGCGTCAACAATTGTTAAGTTTTCTTCTTAAGTTAGTTTGATAGGAAGTACTTGTGATAGATCAATGATATTTTGTATTAAGTTGCATTGCTATCAGTACATATCAGTTTGAAGACTATTGTGAGTCCCCGCCACCGATGCCATGGTCCAGTGACTTGGAATTAATTAGCAATTTTCAATGTCAAGCTTTCTGCTTAAGTTAGTTTGATAGGAACTACTTGTCATAGATCAATGACATTTTGTATGAAGTTGCATTGCTATCTGTACATATCAGTTTGATGACTTTTTTGAGGCCCTGCCCCTAGGCCATGGTTCAGTGACTTTGAATTAATAAGCAATTTTCAATGTTAATTTTTCTGCTTAAGTTAGTTTGATAGGAACTACTAGTGATAGAGCAATGATATTGTGTATGAAGTTGCATTGCTATCAGTATCAGTTTGACGACTATTTCAAGGCCCTGCCCCCTATGTCCTGGTCCAGAGACTTTCAATTAATAAACAATTTTCGATGTAAAGTTTTCTGCTTAAGTTAGTTTGATAGGAACTACTTACACTAGACAACAATATTCTTATAAAGTTACATTGCTGTCTGTACATCTCAGTTTGTCAACCATTTCGAGGCCCTGCCCACTAGTTGGTATAGCAACTTTGAATTAATTAGCAATGTTGCTGTCCATCAGGTTGTCTTTTTCTGAATTTTATGCAGACAGGCGAGACATATCTCTGAGTCAACAGTTTATTGTGCTACAACCGTGAAGTTACGAGCTAAATTATTTGTTTTAATTTGTTGTCCTATGCATTGTTGTGAGATCTTGTGACGTTGTCACGGGAAGCACGTGCTGTCAGGAATATTGCATTTTATTGGGATTTAAAATTTAATTTTGAAATGCTTCTCGATTGTCAGCCAATAAAAAAGTTGGGATTCTTATGAAACTTACATCTCCATGCATTGGTTCAATAATTTCCGGAATTTTAAAACATTATAATCACCAGAAACTCGTTTCATATGACTGTAAGTATTCATTTAGATGTCCTTTATAAATAATTTACCTACGTATTTTATTATTCTGCATTGCCATAAACTTTTATTTCACTGATAACACAGGCATTCAAGTTTCATCTCACCCACATTTGAAAGAAATGAAAAGATGCAGTAAACCAATGTGTTCTAGGAGACGAAAGAATCAATGTGGTTGCAATGGATGTTGCTGGGCCACAGGTTGTAAAAGAGGACGATGTAGAGGGAAGAAATGCATGTGTTCTAAATGTCCAAGTAATTAATGTATAAGAATTATTAAAAGTAATGAAAAAATATATTTCTATTGTCTATATCTACTTATTATATATACATATGTTAAACTACAACACGATTGTAAATGAACCAAAAACAATATTTAAGAAATTATCACTAAGGGTAACGATATTAATTTACTCTTATGGGACAATTTACAACTCAAATAACTTAAAGTCTATATTTTTTGTTGAGATGACCACACTACATTGAACTGTAATGGAAAAACGAAATTCGAATTCAGAGGACACTATATATAAAGCGATAGACGGGTGTACAGACAAACAAGAAAAAATGAAAACGATGACACATTTGAAATACATATTTGGGAACTACGAATCCCCATTTAAACTGAGAGAAATCTCATGAGTTTATGAGGGGTAATCATTAAATGTTCTTGCTTCGAAAGCGAAAAGTTGTTTCGTCCAGTGGTCTTAAGCCATCATTCAAATACAATCATGGTCGATGCCGGGCGTGACTACCAACGAAAACATGTGTAAGATCAGCGAAAGAATAATCTGATAGACATTAGTGATCTTACCGTGAACATTTTGCAGTGCTAATTCTATTTCATGCTGAATATAATACGATATAGATACATTGACAATGTGTTCTGTCCAGAAATTCAGTAGTAGTCAACACATGATCTTGAGAAGCAACCAACTGTAATATGAAGGTCATGTAGGTATGTTAAAACTCAGAAAAAAAATATAACTTATCCAAAGGTTTGTGTTCTTTGGCAGTTCAATCGGTGTGAAGACATGTGTCCCTCTGGCAGCAAGAGGGCTAAGGAAGACCCAACTGTTTCTGCAGTGTTCCTAATTTTAAAATAAACAATCTTTTTGGAAACGATCTGTAAAATTTATTTTTTTTAAAGAATGTTATTCATAAGCTTACTGCGGGAAATAAAATTAAGGATCTATTTTACATCTTTTCATTTTTTTAAGGAAATTTTGTATCAATTTGGCTTCATATACTTCTATACAAAATGAAAATGAACAAGTTGAAATGTAATAAAAACAACTACTAAAGAAGACATAGGCAACGAATAACCTGGAAGAAGGATAACTAACAACAAATTATGTCCCAGGAATAACACATGTCCTTAACGTCAATTTATTTTCAAAACAATCAGAGTCTTACATTCTGACTAGTTTTTAAAAGATATTCTTTCCCAATGATCCTCGTAGGACCAATGTCAACTAATTGTGACAGTTCTGACTTGGAATAGGCACTATAGATTAAAGGAGGTATATTGTTCCAGGTTAGCAGCGAATCAAACTGCCTACAATATTCGAACAATCCCAAATTGAAATCCTTAAAATTGCAAATTTGACCAATATGGTTCAAACATCAAATCCTGGTAATGTCGCGAGCTGAAGAAAGGTTATATTTTTTTTTGTCATCAGAAACATTTAATCGTAGAAATGAACCATTGCACTCTTTGATAGAGGTACATTCTAGTGCAATATAAATACAAACTATTGAAAAAAAAACATCAGGGAAAATGTACAGATGTAATATAATTGCTAATGCGTATGGAAGGCTTACTTATTAAAAAAAAACCACACATAATAATTCAATGAAATATTTTACTGTAGAAGTGCCTCCCACCACAACTACAACTACAATGATGTCATCGACAACGTCAAGTGCTGACGCAGACGAGACGACTACGATGTACCCATGATGTATGATGGATAATGTGTCCTTGTTTAAAATATCGCAAACTATATTACCAATAAAATAGTTTTTGCTGTTCACAGATTTTATTTAAATAAACTTCAACAATCAAAACTGGATAAAAATAAAAATCCGTATGTTTTTTTTTTTTTTTTTTTGCTTTTTGTTTTGTTTTTTATTTTTTAATCGTCTAATTTTCATTGACACAAAAATTCATTATCATTTCCAACCAAGTATAAAATGTATCATACTTATTCGTGAAAACATTTTAAAAAATACAAACATTTTACATTTTCGATGCAAAGTTGCTTCCACCTATATGCTTTTGTCAAAACGTCTTATACTGCAACAGGAAAGTGTTCTGGGACCATGAAAATAATGTAGAAGTGGGTTCCGATTTCGAATGCTTTTTTCACTTCTGATTTCAATTTGAATATTTAGTGAAATTTAGGAATTGACAGGGTAGACTTTTCGATGTTTAATATATGTTGATGGAATAAATTATTGAGCAGTAAGAGACGGAGAGAGGCAAAAGATATTAACGGGACATTCAAACTTATGTCGAAAATAAATTGGTAACGCCATAGCAAATTAAAGTGAAAAAAAAAGCCAAAATACAAACAGCAGTACACAAAACACAACATAGAAAACTAAAGACTGAGCAACACAAACCCTACCAAAAACTGGGGTGATATCAGGTGCCTCACAAGGGTAAGCAGATCCTGAACCACATGTTGCAACCGTAGACACCCCCCCCCCCCCCCCCCCCCCCCCACCGTAGTGTTGCTCATGAAGTACAACCCCGATGATAAGTCTAATAATAATTCGGTAGGTCACATTCGAGGAAAATAAGACGGGTTGTGGTTACGACAATTGGAACATATCTGTCATCTGTGAAACAGATATTCCATAACGGTCAACCAACTCGTGATGGCGTCCGTAATATTTTCAAAAGGATGATGTCAAATTCACTACTTACTTGGAATTCTAAGTTTAATAGCTTCCTTGTGAGCAGCAACCATCTATCAAGGAAATCATGATCCATATTCTGATATATACTCCATTTGCAGGCGCTGCTTGAATATTGCTACATAAAAATTGAAAATTTCAATTGGGGAGCTGAAATCAACCCTTATGTCGTAAATATTTGTTCTCAATCGACCCTCATTGTCAGTTTCTAATTGTAAATCAAGATATGAGGCTGACTTAACTTTTCAATCTTCCTAAGAAGCTCCTGGTTGTCATATATCGGAAATATGAGGAGCACAGTTGGTTCCCATGGGAACGCAGATTGTATTTTGGAAAAACGTGTCCTCCAAACGTAGCAAATATGTTGTCAATCAGGAAATCAAGCACCTTGATAATGTCAGTTTCAAAAAATATATTTATTTAAATCGGAGTGATTTGTTTTACAAAATACGATTTATCCCTTCCTAAGTAAAACCTGCAGAATGGAAGAATACTATATTGTCCTTTTGCATGGGATATTGTAGTGTACTATGAATATTGGGATTGACAAGATTACATACATATGCATGGGCATTATTTTTTTTCGGTATTACATTGTATAAAAATCTGTAGTTTTCTTCTTTTTGTTTGTTCTCGTAGGGACCCCAATCCAATTTCTAGTAAAAAATTTCAGAAGGTGTGAAATAGGTAATCCTGTTCCTACAATTTGACCTAATTTATCAATATATGTGAAGCCATGTTAGGGCAGCTACAGCTGTAAGTTGGATAATGCATCTCTTTTGGTTGGCTTGCTTGCTTTGTTTGTAAAAAAGTTTGCTCAAGCATTGTAATTAAGATTGACATCTGCAAACAATATAAATAGGCGGCGTTTACATTATATTTAGATTTGATTGGACGTTATCCTGGAGGTAAGGAACACCCAATTGTACATGTGAAATTACACGACAAATATTATTCACATATTATATATAAATATAAAATAATACTGAACGAATAACAATAAGATGAAGAACAACGATTAAGAGTTGTTGTATTTTCTTAACTATGTTGAAGTCTTTCCTTTAATCACAAAGTGATTAAAAATTGTTATAGAGTTGTCTTTCTTTGTCTGTTGTTTATTGTAATTCACAAATACCAAGATTAAAATACTACAGACTTTCTGTATTTTATACCCATTTGTGTAGAGGTTCCATCCTCTGTTTTTCATTTATAACCTTTACCACTTATACAAAAAAAACAATCATTCTAATTAAACATACATTTTATTACACCAACTTGTATTTACATTTTCATGACTGGAATAGACATTTTTACTTTGTGGCATTACGTTGGCTACAGAGTATTCTATAATATTTTATTGAGGCGCCAGGGTGACTACCGATTTCCTATACACAATGGCTAACAGCTGACCTATGTTGACATAGTGTAATAAAAACGCCTGGTAGTTAAACACGGTTACACCACCACCTACCACGGGGAGTGACCGGGGAAAACACTCGTATTACCAATGCTCCAGTTATAAGTGCCCCACCTGTTGGTAGGTGTAGGCCTCCCCTCTATAAGATGAGGTGGAGGAGGTTCCAGAGTTACCCACCTGTAGACCCCACCGTTACGACTAACCACATTTTTCAAACCTGCAAATTGTAGAACTTGTCAGGCCCAGAGCAAGGGCCGAGTGAAATAATCTCCCAATCACTACCAGTCTCCCTGGACCGCCACATGAGAGCTACCAAATCTGACTTGGATTCTCACCTCCACAAAATTATTGAAGCATTGGAAAAGTTGATTTTGTTGTGCGTAGAAAAGACTCAACTCCCCCCCCCCCCCCTCCCTTGTATATTATTTTAGAAAACCTGATTTCCAGTTTGTGATAAATGAGTTTCATCTGTTCTGTATAAAGACACTTCATTTGCTCTAATATTCTCATGTAAAATAGCTTTTTCCCCCATTTTCTATTACAAAGTTTTTGACCACTGAATTCACTCTTTTTCTCTTCTGTTCGATTATTGGACCCGCATTTAAGGGTGCAAAATGCCAGTATTTGCGCTGTAGCATTGAATACAATATTATAATAGCATTTTTTAATAAAGCCTGGTAGCGTAGGATAGAACATTTTACATTTTCAATTAAACCCTTCCCTGTCAATTCTAAATCTGTCAAATCATTAGCTCCACAGTGAATATTAATAAAATTAGGAGAAGGTAAAAATGGTCTTTTTGCATCCAGTAAGGAGTCCAAATCTTTTAACTGTAAACCAGGTTGCCCAATCCAGTATGCTGAGACTCCTTTGGACTCCAGTCCAAGGTTGGTCCTACCATATTTCTTTGCCTCTACATTGGCCCAATGAACAAGGGAACTTCCAACAATCCATAAAATCTTGGGACCTGTGAAAACTTGTAGCTTGTTAGCCTTTTGTAACTAGAAAAATTGCAACCTAATATAGCGATGAATAAGCATGCGATTTCCATCTGCCTAATTTCATAATTACCTCCTCTGAGACCCCCTGCCTGACCAGTTCAGTCGCTCCCCAAATTCTAAAACTATGTGACCTAAAATGACCTTAACAGATATGAAGAAAATGTAAAGCCTTTTCCAGTATACTGCTGAATTGGTATCTAGTTAAAGGCATACCATTATAATGTATAAACAAATCGTCATTGTTACAGGTAGGTCATACCTTTAAGTATTCGTTAATGAGTCGTATCGGACAGTAGGTTTTTTTCTATTCCCAGGTATCAATATAGTAACGGACTTTCCCTTTTGGTCAGTTTTTTACCACCTTACTCTTAGCTCCGGGACTTTTTTCTTAACTAAAATATCAGCAATTGTTAAGTTGGAGCCATTTATAACAGATTTAGTTTTGGAATTAGTGATTTCCCCTACCTTTAGCAAACCAAAGAAGGCAACTGAAAAAACTGCTGAAAATAAAGCAGCTTCATATTTATTCTTACATACCTTATCTAAACAACGTATCATATCTGACAACAATTGCACTGTAATTGGTGCTCTAATGTCGTTATGTTTCCCTCCTTGAATTCTTTTTATTCCTTCTAATGCCTTGACAATTATAAAGAATTTTGTAGTATCCTTTATGCCTTGTATTTTATGATGATATGAAACTCCTGATATATAAGATGATATGGTACCCCCAGAAAGACCTTGTACTGACAAAAAATTCGTAAGGGTTCCACGGAACCCAGTGTCTCTCCTACTTTTTCTGTTAATCGCAGGCTCAACAAAAATGAGGAAGTAAATCAATAAATATATTCCTCTTGATACTATCTTTTGATTGTAAAAAGCTTCTGTCCAAGTTTGGTAAAAATCCAGGATAGTTTATGAATCTAATAAATGTTTAAAAACTTTAACTGCAGACTGAATGTAATGTTAACTGGAAGAAAACAAAATTTCCTTCTAGATACTAGCATTTGATCATAAACAAGCTTCTGTCCAAGTTTGGTACAAATTCAAAATAGTATAAGAAAGTTATTAAAATTTTAAAAACTTTAACCACAGAGTGAATGTGTTGTTTCATGGCAGAAAATCTAAGTCCATTTAAAAGTAAAATATGGAAAAAATAGATTTATTTTTTTTTTACAAAATTTCCTTCTAGATACTAGTTTTTGATCATAAACAAGCTTCTGTCCAAGTTTGGTACAAATCCAAAATAGTATAAGAAAGTTATTAAAATTTTAAAAACTTTAACCACAGAGTGAATGTGTTGTTTCCTGGCAGAAAATTTAAGTCCATTTAAAAGTAAAATAAGGAAAAAATGGATTTATTTTTTTACAAAATTTACTTCTGGATACTATCTTATGATCATAAACAAGCTTCTGTCCAAGTTTGGTATAAACCCAGGACAGTTTAAGAAAGTTATTAAAATTTTAAAAACTTTAACCACAGAGTGAATGTAATATTTCCCTGCAGAAAAACTAAGTCCATTTATAAGTAAAATACGGAAAAAATGGAATTTTATTTTTACAAAATTTACTTCTGGATACTATCTTATGATCATAAACAAGCTTCTGTCCAAGTTTGGTAGAAATCCAGGATAGTTTAAGAAAGTTATTAAAATTTCAAAAACTTTAACCACAGAGTGAATATTTGTGGACGCCGCCGACAACGACGACGACGACGACGACGCCGACGGAATGTAGGATCGCTATGTCTCGTTTTTACGACTAAAGTCGAAGGCTCGACAAAAAGCTATAAAATTTAGCAAATCATTGACTGGCACTGGCCAATGCTGTTTCAATTTGTAAGATGATCTAAAATTACAAAGTTTTGACAGAGCCAAATTGTATGATTTATGTGTATTTTTGGACACACCTTGATTGACAATATAATCCGCCATTTGATTTAAATGTTCCAGATCTGTGTTGGAATTTTGGTTGGCCACTGGTCTGCTTCTGGAGCTAGGCTTCTGAACTTCTCCCACTGAGAACGAGAAAGACAATCAGCAATTTGGTTTTGTTTTGAAGGGATATAAATTGCATTAACTGACGTATTGTTTTTTTAAATTCATTAAAACCATTTGTCTTACTAAAGTCATAACTCTACTTGATTTTGCTAGTTTTCATATTAATGATTTGAACAACCGCCTGATTATCAACATGAAAAATAACTTTTTTGTTAACAAAATATGATTCCAAGGACACAAGTGCTGCTACAACTGGAAACAACTCTAGCAATATCATATCTCTGGTGATTCCAGTTACAACCCAATGTTTTGGCCATATGCCTTGGGCCCTCTGACCTGAAAAATAGATCCCATACCCACCTTTGGACCCCCTGCACTATCCGTGAACAACTCTAATTTTTTGTTTGAAACCCATACATTGTCGGTTATTACAGTGACACCATTGTATTGTTTTAAAAAGTCTAACCAAACTTCTAAATCTGCTTTCATCTGCTTGTTTACTCGAATTTTTTATGATTTTCTTACCCCCCATTGTTGAATTTATGAGTCTGCGGCTGAGAAGGTGCGGCCTGGAGCAACCACCTTGCAAGCAAAATTCAGGAGCCCAAGAAGAGATTGCATGTCTTTAAGAGTTATTTTAGAACTGTCTAAGGTATCTCTGATTTTTTAAATAATTAAACTATAATAATTTTCTGCAGCACCTGCTTTGTTGTCGACAGCAAATTAACAAGTGCCCGATACGGGAATTCCAAAATTCAAATTCCATGCGAGAGCGCCGTCTATGGCAATGAGCTAAAGGCTGCAACACCCACACAAATATTTGATTGAATTAAACCAGATTATTGAAAATATAAAATTTTGATAATCTCTATTAAATGAGAACTTGATACAGCCTTTATGTATACTTCTTTAATAGGGTTTAGACAGGCACTCCTTTGTTGCCCCTCCATTGATAAATGTAACTTGGTATTTGGCCAACGGTCCATAACATGAGTAAGTGGTGCAATTTAAACCCACTTGTATGAGGGTCTGGATGGAGATTACAAAACGTATATATGATTTAAAGATGATTTCAATGATTTTTAATAAATAATGCAAAAGAACTATTAAATGCAAATTTCAGCATAAATACGCCTGACGGAACGTTATTATTGTACGATACTGCAATACAATACTAAATACAATTTGTGTAGGAATTTTTTATTCAAAAGATCATAATTATTTCCTTGTCAAAATTGGTTCACAAAAACATTATACTTGGTGCATTCATATTGCTAAGAATATAAAGGCAAGCAAATAATCATTCAGTTTTGACTTAAAACAAAGTTCAGAACTTGCTGGTGAATTAATTACAAATAATTAGAATGATGATTTATGTAATGTTATAAAATCCGGCTTATTAAATATGTGCGATTAATATTTGTCCTGCAATGTTTACATGTATAATTGGTTGTTCCTAACATCCTAAATACCGGTAACATCCAATCAAATCTAAGTAAAATGTATACAGGTTTAACTCTGCCTACATATATATATATATATATTGTTTGCAGATGTCAATCTTAATCAGTGGGGCGTTTGTCTTCCTGCGGACAGCGTTCTGGTGTACTAGCACTTTAAAAGTCCTGCACTAACAGTAGGCTAGCACAAAGCAGTCAAAATTATATATACACCTTTTGGTTTTTCTTTTATTTTATTTTCTTATATATATATGATATACATATAAAACTTTATACTGATTATTTTTCTTTAATTCACATGCACATATTTAGGCCTATTTGGATCTATACAAGATAATTGGCAACTAAATTCACATACACAATTTGCCATATCAAATTTCTCCACTCCTTACTTGGATTCTGGTGTACCATGAAAACGTTGCTGCCGCTCACTGTCGTTTGCACGGCCTCTTCTCCTGTTCAGATTTTTGGTGGCTCTTATTTTTATTTTTTCTTTATTAAAAATTTTCATTTGTTCATCTATTTATTTATTTATTTTATTTATTAAATTACCGGTATTGCTCATTTTACTATTTATTCATGCTATGTTTTTTTTTTTTTGTCACTCAAAATTATATTAATTACCATAACCATGATAACATTAAAATAAATTATTTAAATGCCCAAAGAGGCGCAAGCCAGGGCTGACCGTGCAAGACCCTCATGAGTTGTCAAGGTCGTTAAAAATCCCCTCATAGTTAAATCTCAATCACAATGCTTGAGCAAACATTTATACAAATAAAGCAAGCAAGCCAACCAAAGTATTTCTCTACAAGCATTAGGAAATTAGCTCTAACGTCATTACAAATACAGGTTAGGTGATAAAATACCGTTTAATATTATATCTTTTCAAGAAACAGTTATTTATATTTACATATAAGGTGCTGATACTGACTGTCATTTTTGTTCTGCAAATTTGTGTGTTATCTGTAACCCTGTAAAAGTAAAGTTTAGGTCTATGCAAGGTTATGAATATGTTCTATAGCAAACCATACAAGTTGTGAAATGAACATGTCATATGATGTGGCAAAAGGAACATCGCCAAACAAAAAAAGGAAGTTTGTGATGGCAAATTTGAAATCGTTTTATTATTTAAATTTAAATTTTTCCATTTAGTAACAATACAGTTTTGTCTAAAAATGGAAAATATTGACTGGTATTATTACAGTTATTAAGCTGAAGTCTCTTTTCGATTTATACATTTATCACGAATAAAATCTCGAGATTATCAACATTAAGTATATCAAGGCATCTGCTGTTATTTTTAACTTGTCAGAATTTTAAATTCTCTCATTCGGAAGTTTTTCCAAGGAAGAAATTCATAACTGCAAAGAAAAAGATCTACAATTAGAGGTGTGCAGTTAGTAAGAATTTCGAATCGATTATTTGATGGTATAAAGGTATATTTGCAGTCACGAACAAAAATATTGTAGCAAGAGATTCAAAGCCATTATCATTTCTGAGCTTGTCCAGAAACAATACTTTTTATATCTTTCTTATTTCTTATTACAACCAATGAATTCAAGACTGAATTATCAACAGCCCATTCAATTACTGCATCATGTTAATTTTTTAACAGATTGTGAGGAAGATTATTCTATCAGGTAGAAAATTCATAACTGCCAACAGAGCTGACTACACGATCAGTAGACTTCATTTTTCACTAGTATGGTTTACCATCTATTATAAGTGGTTTTTTTCTGGATTTACCTTCATCCAAAATAAAGGGAAATGAAAAACAAACTCTCAGTATTAAAGAAGCTTCTGCCCAAGTTATACATGTATAAAAAAACGCTAACCACAGCCTTAACCTACATGTTGATGGCACCAGCGACCGGTTGCATGATTGATTGTTGTCTGCTTAACGTCCAGTGGCAAATATTTAATGCACCTTTAGGACTAGAAAAAATACAATTATTATATATATATAGGTTCTGCAAACAAGGGTTTAACATCACGAGTTGGTTGACCGTTATGGAATATCTGTTTCACAGATAACGATTGATATGTTTTTACTTACATGAGCAACATGACGGGTGCCACATGTGGAGCAACTGATATTTAAAATCAACAACTGACATAATTGAATAAAATTTATTATGAAAAATCTAATGAATGATTTCTACTTAATTTTTCAAACGTAAATAAGGCAGTCAATAGTTTAATATAAACAAGAGTGCACACGCTGAAATGTCTCGCCTTCTTTACTAATCATTGATATTATGTTGATAGTCCTAAATATAAAGCTTTCTTACAACTGTCACATAAACTTAACATTAACCAAGAAAACTAAACATTGAACAATGAACCATGGAAATGAGGTCAAGGTCAGATGAACCATGCCAGGCAGGCATGTACAGCTAACAATTCTTCCATACAACAAATATAGTTGACCTATTGCTTATAGTTTAAGAAAAACAGACCAAAACACAAAAACTTCACACTGAGCAATGAACTGTGAAAATGAGGTCAAGGTCAAATAAAAACTGCGCGACTGACATAAAGATCATAAAATACTTCCATACACCAAATATAGTTGACCTTTTGCATATAGTATTAGAAAAAAAGACCAAAACTCAAAATCTTAACTTTGACCACTGAACCATGAAAATGAGGTCAAGGTCAAATGACACCTGCCAGTTAGACATGTACACCTTACAATCATTCCATACACCAAATATAGCTGACCTATTGCTTAAAGTGTAAGAAAAACAGACCAAAACACAAAAATGTAACATAAGCAATGAACCATGAAAATGAGGTCAAGGTAAAATAAAACCTGCCAGACTGACATGTACATCATTAAATATTTCCATACACCAAATATAGTTGACCTACTGCATATAGTATTAGGAAAACAGACCAAAACACAAAAACTTAACATTTAGCAATGAACCTTGAAAATGAGGTCAAGGTCAAATAAAACATGCCAGACTGACATGTACATCGTAAAATATTTCCATACACCAAATATAGTTGACCTACTGCATACAGTATTAGAAAAACAAACCAAAACACAAAAAATTAACATTGAGCAATGAACCGTGAAAATGAGGTCAAGGTCAAATAAAACTTGCCAGACTGACATGAACATCGTACAATATTTCCATACACCAAATACAGTTGACCTATTGCATACAGTATTAGAAAAACAGACCAAAACACAAAAACTAAACTATGACCACTGAACCATGAAAATGAGGTCAAGGTCAGATGACACCTGCCAGTTGGACATGTACCCCTTACCAAATATAGTAGACCTATTGCTTATAGTATCTCAGATATGGACTTGACCACGAAAACTTAACCTTGTTCACTGATCCATGAAATGAGGTCGAGGTCAAGTGAAAACTATCTGACGGGCATGAGGACCTTGCAAGGTACGCACATACCAAATATAGTTATCCTATTACTTATAATAAGAGAGAATTTAACATTCCAAAAAATCTGAACTTTTTTTTCAAGTAGTCGCTGAACCATGAAAATGAGGTCAAGGACATTGGACTTGTGACTGACGGAAACTTCGTAACATGAGGCATCTATATACAAAGTATGAAGCATCCAGGTCTTCCACCTTCTAAAATATAAAGCTTTTAAGAAGTTAGCTAACGCCGCCGCCGCCGGATCACTATCCCTATGTCGAGCTTTCTGCGACAAAAGTCGCAGGCTCGACAAAAATGCAAAATAAATTTATAAATAAGCGTTTTGAAACTTCATGTCCACAATTGTCTTTAAATTTTTTTTTGATTTACAATACTCCAAAAAATCCAACGACATTTATTGTAACAGAAGAAGATTCTACTTCTACCAGTTTGGCATGAATCTACCGGTAGTTAACAAATATGGCAGTCTCACTATACCATAAAGCCAATTGCCTTAAAAAGGGTTATTTTTTCACTATAATCAAGGGCATAACTCATGAAAGACAGAAACGAATTCAATCAGATTTAAACTGGATCTGTATTAATTGTTTCCTAACAATATCTGTTTTTAGGTGGGGGTTTCCTCATGTTATTCTCATAAAATGAAAAAATTTGGCGAATTTCCACTCTTTCAAGGCTATAACTCAGAGAAACAAAAAAATCAAATCTGTCTTATTCAAACTGGGTCTTTGTTTAGTGGTGGCTAACATTATTTTTTTAATTTAAAATGATTTGACAGAGACTTACTCAAGTTAGCATCTGGAAATCAATTTTGGGATGTACAAAAATTTTGAATAGTTGTCATAAAATGGCAATCATACCACATCTCCTTATTTTTATATTTTGTTGTACATGCCTGTGTACATAAATAATGTATGTGTAAGAGTAAAACTATATGCCCATGTCACCTCTCTGTAGGGCATAAAAGATTAACTTCTTTGTCACATTTGATTTCCATTGATTTAGCAGTTCTCAAAAATAAGCTCTTTGAAGTGTAAGCTAATCTGAATTTTTTTATGTTGCACAATTATGGTCATCTGTTCTCATCATTAAATAACAAGCTTTAATACAGCCTTCTAAAGAACATTTTGCAAAGTACTGGTATCAATAAAGTATCTTTATATTAGCAATTTGGAAATGTTGACAATGGAATACTTATGCTAAGGTAGGGACGAAAGAATTGTATGAACTTTAACCAAGTGATTCAAAAATGAACAAACTTGCATCCTTTCCTTATATAATGTATGAATATGAAAAATCAACAAATACTGTTCAATCTAGCAATATGTACAAGCAATTCATCACGGTCTTTCTTAATTAACAAATCCTTGGGTTCTGAATAGGAAATGAAACTTGTCCCCTTTTTAACAGAATCTGTATCTGTAATTTCCATCCAATGCTTTTTACTGCAAACTAGTAAGGTAGATATTACCTGTAAAAAAGTAATTATAGAATAGTAGTAAGAATCTGGAAAATCAATCAAACATAAAATGCATAATATGCAAAAAAAAATTCTTAAATTCATATATATCAATGCAAAATAAAAGAAGAGTTCCAATGTCCCCCACATTGCACATATTTTATATTTTCAAGGGGCATAACTCTTTTAAAAGAAGTCGATCGTCGAGAGCTCTGATGAGGCCATTTTCCATAAATATAATATTTCCAAGGGGCATTACTCTTTTAAAAAAAGTCGATATTCCACCATTATATAACTTGTCTGAGATATTGCTGATATTAACCTATAATATAAGTTTTATAAAAATACGGCAAGAATTGTACCTGTGGTAGCGCTAATGTCCATGTCCCCCGCAACACGTTATGGGGGGTACAATAATTATCTTAAATGCAAAACTGTACAACTACTGTTGATTCATTATTATTCATGGTGTACTAATTTTTCTGCATAAGGTGGGAATACCATTCCATACACCAAATATAGTTGATCTACTGCTTATAATATCTGAGATACGGACTTGACCATGAAAACTTATCCTTGATCACTGATCCATGAAATGAGGTCAAGTGAACCTTGTCTGACAAGACATGTAGACCTTGCAAGGATCCCATATACCAAATATATTTATCCTATTACTTTGAACATAATAAGTGAGAAATTCACATGACAAACTAGTGTGTTTCACCTAGGTCTATATGCATCTTTAACAATGGACACTTTCCAACATTGTAGACTAGAATATAATTCATGACTAAATTCTTTTTTGCTGAACTTGTAATGCTGATAACTTTTTACTGTGTACAATTTCTCACTATCTTCTATAACTTTTGCCCAAAATACAATAAAGAGCTATGCCATGAGTGCATGATACACCCTCGCTTTTTCAAAGAATAAAGTTTCATAACTCGTTTTTGAGTAATTGTCCGAAAACTGGAAAATCCCCCTTTCTTAATGAATAAAATCCATAACTCAGAAACGTAAAATCTAAAATTAATAAAAATCAAAAGGTTTATTGAGTTATTGTTTGACATGTTGATGACAGACAGACAACAGTATACCATAATACGTCCCATAATTTCAAGGGCAATAACTCCTATAAGAAGATAAAAGAAAACATTGGTAAAAATTGTCATTTTTGGACACTAATTCCAAAGGATCATAAATTTGTAGATCTTGCCTTGCTGATCTTTCTTGTTAATTAATCTTTCTATATATCTATTATAATTTTCAAGATAAAAGGCAAAATCGCAAAAAAAAAAGGTAAAAATTAGTCATTAAAGGGCCATAACTCTTATAAGAAGTTGTCTGACAGTTTTGAGTAATTTGACAGTAGGTAGATCTCATCACTCCATTTTTGCCCTATTAGATTTTCTCTGCCTATAGCGGTTATCAAGATAATAAGACAAAACTTGCATTTTAACCCTATGTTCTATTTTAGCCATGTTGGTTGGCAGGTAGGTTTTTTTATCTGACACATTTTAATGAACTTGATACCCTAACAATGATTGTGGCCAAGTCTGGTTAAATTTGGCCCAGTAGTTTCAGAGGAGAAATTTTTTTTGTAAAAGTTAATGGATGACGATATGGAAAAAGTTCACACTGGCACTTTTGGCAAGGTGAGCTGAAAAAAACTATAGATTTTTAAAGCAATCACTGAACCATGAATATGAGGCCAATGGACATATGATAGACTGAAGCTTCCAGGTCCTCTACCCCCTGAAATACAAAGCTTTCTATAAATTGTTTACTCTGTACTGTTACTGCCAGCTTGTAATCCTTATGTGGTGCAAAATTGAACTTAATCTGTAATCTATGGTTCATGATATTGTGTTTAAACATCAACAGATTAGGTCAAGTGTCCCTTGAAATTTCATCTTGGAACCAGAATTAAGGACATGTGTAAGGCCAGGTTATTTAAAATGTGTGTTAAGGGTAACTTTCCTTCTTTCATGTCTTTAGTAACATAGTGGGGGAGGATTTTTTTTAATTTGCTGAATTTTTTTAACCTCAGTATATGAGGACCACCTGTTATTTTGATAGGATTTGCTACCAAAAGTGTCAATAAATTCTTTATGGTAGGCATTTTTAAGCTGTCTGAATTTGGATTGTGATCAAATGTTTGACATAATATAGGTTTCTGTCACAAAATAAATTGTTCAAAGATCTTACAAATTTGAAATGGGCATTTCATTTACCTAGAATGGTCTGATATCCAAAATCTAACAACATGGTTAGATTCAGCATATAAAAAACACCAAAAATTTTATTTTAGTTGAAATCAAACAGAGTTTAATTTTGGACCCTTCAAACCTTGATATGGACTAATTTGATCACAGGGCCCAAAATGAAAAATCTAAATGCACAATAAGATTCAGCATATCATACAGCCACAATAATTCAGTTTTTGATGAAATCAAACAAAGTTTAATTTTGGACCCTTTTGACCTCAATGTAGACCAATTTAAAAATGGGGCCCAATATCCTAAAAGTAATACAACTAACTAAGAACCCCCAAAAATTAAAGACTTTAAATCAATCCCATTGAAATTGGTTAAAAAATTTGTATTTATTTTCAATTGAAGATTTCTTGTTATTGTGCAATATTGTCCGACTGTGCTATTGCACAATACTGTGCAATTGCTGATTTCTAGCTATTGTGCAATACTGCGCTATTGCACATGACTATGCAATTGAAGATTTCTTGCTATTGTGCAATACTGTGCAATTGAAGATTTCTTGCTATTGCGCAATACTATGTTGTTGTGCAATACTGTGCTATTGCGCTATACTGTGAAATTGAAATTTCTTGCTATTGCACAATACTGTGCAATTGAAGATTTCTTGCTATTGCACAATACTGTTCAATTGAAGATTTCTTGCTATAGCGCAATACTGTGCAATTATAGATTTCTTGCTATTGTGCAATACTGTGTTGTTGCGCATTACTGTGCTATTGCGCAATACTGTGCAATTGAAGATTTCTTGGTATTGTGCAATACTGTGCTATTTTGAAATACTGTGCAATTGAAGATTTCAAAAATTTTGAAGAAAAAAAATATGAATCCCTAAAAAAAATTGGAAAAAAAAATCCCCCCTTGGAGTAATTACCCCCAAACTCAATCTCAGCTTTCCCTTTGTGGTATGGAACCTTGTAGTACAATTTTAGAGAGATCCATACACTTAAACACAAGTTATTGTCTGGAAACTAGAAAAATGCTTGTTTTTGGCCCCTTTTTTGCCCCTTATTCCTGAACTGTTGGTACCATAACCCCCAAATTCAATCCCAGCCTTCCCATTGTGATATGATACCTTGTGATACAATTCCAGAGAGATCCATACACTTACACACAAGTTATTGTCTGGAAACTACAAAAATGCTTGTTTTGGGCCCCTTTTTGGCCCCTAATTCCTAAACTGTTGGTACCATAACCCCACAAAAGACGACGCCAACGACGACCATTATACGATGCTAAAATTTTTTTGCAGTCGTATAAAAATAGGGCATGTATGGAAACCATATACACAAAGACTTTTTTTCATTTTGTCCTAATCATGCTAATTGGCATGAATAAGAAAATTCTATTCATTCATCAAGAATCATTACTCTTTTACCATGTTTACCTTTGTTCCATATAGAATCATGCCCGAGTGGTAGAAAAAATCTTTCTGTTTTAAAATCCCAGAAAACTTATCAAAATGAATTAATAACTCTCCACCATGCTGACCAAGAACACTACTGCTAATCCAATTACAGATTGGTTGCATTCCTTGAGCAGGTCCTTCACTCAGGTGACTGTCAGAAGAATCTGAAGCTAACCTGGACAGTGTTTTTATTTGTTGTTCTTTTATTTTTTGGGATGTTAAGCTGTCATGGTTGTTAACCTGCAATTATAAAACAGATCACAGTTATATTCAAAAGGCTCTTCTCAAAAACTTTTATTTACTACAGATGCACTGTGTGAAATTTTGGCATTGATTTGTAACACAATTAGGGGCTAAATATAAGCAGTAGCCCAGATGAAAATTATTTAAAAATCATGCAGAATTCTGAAAAATATCAGGTTTATCCAGAGATTGTCCTGTTCTAAATTCATGCAAAATTGTATAAAACTTTCCTATTTTAATGGGAAAAGCCCCCTCCCAAAAAAGTTAAATTAACCCATAAAATTACCTTCAATTGTCTTGGGATGACTCATGGTTAATGAAAAAGAAGCTTTTTAGCTAGCATCATTTCACGAATGTACATTTTTAGTTCTTTAAATCAGCAAAAAGGATGCAAAAATAAATACCAGTCTAATCTCTCTCTACAAGAATAGCACTAAATAGTTAATTGAACATGTTGAAGGTTGATTTACTTAAAGAAACCAAGTTACCTCAACAATAGAAACAAGTGTACTTATATCATCAAATTCATCTTGATCTGTTCCCACTGTTGTTATTGCAACATCTGCTTCTGATGTAACTTCAAGATCTTTAAGAATTATTTTTTCTGCCTTCCAAAGTTTTCCATCACTGAAAATTAATATGATTAATTAAATTCTAAGAACAAAAAATTATTCCACATGCATTAATACATGGTAGCTATAGGAAGACATACACTCATATCTTAAACAAGAAAGTCTATTAATCTCATTATATATTTTAAAAAGTGTTTTCTAACAGAAGTTTTTTTAAGAATCCATTATGAATTCATTTATAAATACTTTGGCAATCATATGATTAATTGATGGATAATTATTGCAGGGTTTTCACTAAGGCCAGTCCATGAGTCCTGGACTCCTGAAAATCTGTTTGGACTCATTATTTTCAAAACTGGTGAGTCCAAAGATGCATCAAGATTGTATCAACTGACCACATACATTGACATATATCATCATTCTATTACAAAAGTTCAAAGATTATCAAATTTGATGTCATTTCCTTGCTCTATTTTTGTCATGGTGACTGAAATAATAAACCATATAGCAATAACATTTTATCTTCTCAGTTGGACTCGTCTTGACCAAAAATGACGAGTCCCTGGACTCGCCTTAAAAAATCCTAAATGAGAACCCTGATTATTGCTTGCTTAACATCCAGTAGTTTTAAATGCCTGTTGTCAGTAAATGGCATTCATTGATTTGATTCATCACATGTTCATCATTAGACAAAAAACACACCAACATCAAGAATTCACATAAGAGAGGAAGCAACAAAGGTCAAATTGAATGGTTGGCCGAATGGTCAGATTTAAAAATTTTCGTTTATTAGTCATATTTGTTGGCTGTATGGTCAGATTTTAAAATTCTTGTTTACTAGTTGGCTGTATGGTCAGCATTTTAAATTCTTGTTTACTAGTTGGCTGCATGGTCATGATGGTCAGATTTTAAAATTCTTGTTTACTAGTCGGATGCATGGTCAGATTTTTAAATTCTTGTTGACTAGTTGGCTGCATCATTGCTGGTCAGATTTAAAAATTCTTGTTTACATGGTATCCTTCAAAGGGCAAACATGTCATCCAGCACAAACAAAATATTCCTACTTCTGAGTTAGTCAGTCTTTAATGTTACTCCTGAATGTTGTAAATGTGCAAATACCAATATTAAAGTTTGTTGGAGAGGGAGTATACATTTTTTGTACAAAGTTTCAAACCTTAATTATTTTTTGTGAACCCCTGCATCTAGACAATCCACCTTTGCAAAACCAGAGTTGTATTTGACAACCACACCGCATTGATAATATTGACCCCTTCCGAGATTGCCGAATTATTCTAGAAAGTCAACAAATGAACTACTACCACTCAAGATCAAAAGAAGACCACTGCAAAACGTACTGAACTGCAGAACCGCACGATTATTGTTGAAATAAACTTGCAACATGGATAGTGTACCACAACCGCAAAATGTAACAAATTCACTACAAATTCCACAATGCCCTACATGTGCGACTACCATACATCTTTCAACATTCCCGACGCAATTGGAAGTAGTACCTCTTTCCGAGTGAAGCCTTTTGGAATGGTACGGAATGTCCTGTGAGGTGTTGTCCATTTTGGAAAAGACACTATCAATTCATTATTAATATTTACTTTCACTTTCATTTTAATGTCGTCAAATCAATTATTGTGACGTTACGTCTTGTTAACCTTTGTAACACCATATGCACGGCATTTTATGTACTTCAGTATTTGTTTTCTATGTTTAAATTGTCCTGAAGACGCCACCGTAAGTGGTGAAACATGTAGACCATAATAAAGATTTTCCTTGCAGTAATCTACGATGTTGTTGTCTTTGTGTACATGTAGCATTATTTTCCTGAGGTTTTAAGACAACCCCAGCATACCTCCCGGTATCCATCCTGATTACTCTCTACCAGCCTGTACCGTTAGAAGGTGTTGGTTCACTCGATTCAACCAAAGTTTCAAATGAATCAATGAAAATGCAAATTATAATCTGAGACTGATATATGCCATATCTCAAAGTTTTATATGTCTTTAGTTTGAATAAAAAAAAATAAATACTTAGAACTGAATCTTTATACTAAGATGTGGCTCTTTAGAATATTCCTTTAAATGTTTTTTGACAGATGAATCAGTCTAAACTATAAGCATGATAATTGATGTACATGTATACATACCTTGCAAAAAGACCACCAAACTGGATAAATATTTTAAACAAGTCCTTAAAACCAGCTTTGGGCAATGTCTTTAATGATGATCTCATTTTTTTAATTATCACCAATATATGGTTTAAAAAGTAAACTACTTGATCAAGACTGAAAGAAAAAAAATATGTATTTCCCATTTGCTAACTGCATATATACATGTACATGTATGAAAACTAAAAGTTAATAAAATAATATCATGACATGTACAAATGTATCATGATTATGTAGTTCTGTTTATATGTACTATATATTATACCCATCAGAATAACTTATGAATTTGAAAAGACATTAGGGTGCCCTCGACTCTGTCAATGAAAAATAATTGGCAACAGACGTAATCAAACATCTTGGAATAAAAAATTACGACTAGTTCTTGTTTGTAGTACTTCCGTTTTATTATCCACATTCCTGTCTTGCAATTTGAATTTTGGAGTTGGATAGTTATGTATGATAAAGGATTTTCTATGGTGCATTTAATAACAAAATTGATATATATGTATTTAAACAGTGTACCAAACAGGCAATTAAAATAACCCTATACTTTGAAGAAATGACTATATATATTATACCTTTGGTCTTGTTTTCGGAGAAGACCAACTCTACCAAGTTCTGTTATGATTTCTTCATAACTTCTTGAATCACAATGTTTATTTGAATAATGATAATATTCAGAAGCATAAGTCATCACATCAGCTAAACTGGTGGAAAATAACATACTATCCTGTTGTTTCTTAACATGCTTCAATTGTTCTTCATTCAGAGGACCGAACATTCCAGTACTCTCATATACTTTATCCAAAAGTTCTGAAATTGGTTGAGGTGCATTTTCAAAATAAATCCTCAATGATTCAAGATGAGTAGTATTCCAGTTTGCAGTTGAGGATGGTATTAAAAAATCAACTTGGCCTGGTGAGGTTGTTATAAAAGGAGGATCAATATCACGGCTAACAGCTTTTCTTTTCCTTTTATCCCTACTGCCAGTTTCAGGTTTCCTTCGTTTTCGTTTATGTGGAAGTATGTTGCCTTCATCACTATCTGTATCTTGACTACTGGACACTTTTTCACTGTATTCCATATTCCTATAATTTAATGAAGTTGGTCCACAAGACAGTAATAACTTAAAACCCTGATAATTGACCATAAATTACTAAAAAATGTATATATCTAAAATGTGGTGAAGGATTGGACAAGAAAATTTTTGTGATTTTTTTTTCAGTCAAAAGTTGAATATATATTCTAATAGGTTTGAATTCTTGGACTTGGTATTTTGTCTTTTACATACATTTTAAATTTAAATAAAGTAGAAAATACATAGAACTATTTTTTTCCTTAAAGTTTTAATAAGTTCTTTAACTAAATGTTTTGATGTTTTAATTATAGATTATTCTACCTTGCATGTGAATGAGTTGTGACCCTTTGCAAAGAAATATAATTACAAAAAATAAAATTGGAAATTGATTGATTGATTGATTATTATTGCTTACTTAATGACTAGTGGCAAATATTTCATATGTATACTGAACAAATGAACTATTCCTACAATACATAAGGAACAGGGAATGATGAAACATTTGTTGTGAGCACTGGACTTGTACTCAGGCAAGTGACAGTGAATGTTGATTGTCCGAAAGAAAAGTTACTTGGCCCTGAATTTCCCAATGAATCTACAGGGTCGGATTTAAGGGGAGGCAAGGTGCTGTATGATTATTAAAACTGTTTGTATAAAAAGTAAAATCACAAAAATACTGAACTCCGAGGAAAATTCAATCGGAAAGTCCCTAATCACATGGCAAAATCAAATGACAAAACACATTAAACGAATGGACAACAACTGTCATATTATATCATTCTATTCCAGATTAAAAACACACTATTAATATTGACGTAAAAGAATGGAGAAAACTGAACTATTGACATGCTTAACACTATTTACAATAACGTACTTAGATAGGTTTGAATGAATTTAAATGATTATATTACTTATCATGCTTATATATATGTAACAAAAAATTGGCTATTAACAAATTTTATCATCGTTACTTTATGTTTCCTTGTTTTGATGACTTTCAGTTTCACAACCGTGCATTTTCCCGTAAAATGCTTATATTCTTACGTCATAGTGCAATGACGTCATTTACACAGATTGACGTCGGGAAGCTCATTCATAAAAAAAGCATATGACGTGGGAGTATGATAGGACAGCCATAACAAATCATGGCCTGGCCGATCAGCTGACATACAATATATTCATATTTTACCACGGGTGTGTACTCAAAGTGTTTGAAGAACTTCATATTTGAATTGAACTTGTCCGAGGCATAAACATGTATATAGTATGGAATGCAGCATAAGTCTCTTCTGATTGTGAAGTTACAAATTTATAATTATTAAGTTGTCTCTTTGTTGGTAATTTGGAAAATCGATTTTGACTGATTTTTACGTTGGGCGTATGCTGAAGAAACTTTTTTTTTGGTTACTTTATCTCTGAGGACTTTGCCATCTCTTTAATGTCATAACACAACTTGTTACCACAGGAATTAAACAAGTCCAAATGTTTATATATGTCATGTAGAGTGAGAGACCCATATTCGCCGCATAATTCATTCATTTCCACTTACATCCGACCTACATTCGAATATTTGGAACTTTTTATGAAGGTTTCAGAAATTTAACTATATGAAAAAAATGTTTGATTAAGAAATTATCTTCAAAACATTGGTTAATTGTTCTAAAAACGAACGCAAACTCAAGAGGAAATCAAGTTGTTCGTGTACCATGGGGGACACATTTTCGCCGCAATGTATGATATGACCATTCTTATTATCCTGGTATATCATAAAAACGAATGTTTGCAATTACAAGAATTAGCTTGAGAGATCATTCCTATACGATTTTTTTCACAAATATTTACTTTAAGACTGCGCATGATTGCCATATAAATCTTATATAATTGCAAAAATCATTTAAAAACACCTGCGTATTTCTCAGTATGTGCGAATAACCTTGGAAATGGGGTAAAGAGGAATATCAACAGTTGTAACATTACAAACAGCCTTTACAATCTACTTAGGCAAGTATTGGGTAAAGGCACACAAATTTCACAGAAAAAATAGCAAAACGGCGAAAAATGTGTCCAAGGCGAATATGCACCACTCACTCTATGTATTAGATAAAAAAGCAGATAATTAAAAAAACACTACATTAACAGGTGGGGACCAAACCCCCAATGTGGTGATAATACCTGTGAAAACCGTAAACAGTGAAAATTATTATTAGTACGAACATATCACACGAGGATATGTTTTAATAAAACTCTCTTTTTTTTATCAACCCCAAATTATCTAATCAGTTTGTAAATTGTAGGTCTATTACCCACTAATGATCATACTTCTGCCAACCTCTGACAATGAGAAATCGTGTCATGACATGACATGACATGTCAAAAAGCATGTGAAAACGTGTGACGTAGATGCAGACTTTTTAATGGGAACAATGTTCATAATTTCACATTATACAAATCATTTATTAAATATAAGAAACAGTATTCAACTGTAAACTTTTATTGTATGCAACAGTGGTCTGTTTTGCTGCTTTTAAATCAAAACCACAAGGCACATATTCAAAACAACTGCCAGTTTGGTTACATTAATCATTAGTAATCATCACTATCTAGTATAATTCATAATCATCATTTCAAATCCACATATTTATTTTTACGAGTTGGCAGGGGTACGAGTTGACATAGATCCGTTCCTACGTCATGTTTTCAATATTTGCTTGCTATGCTTTTACCTTCTTTTGCCGTACCTATTGTCTGCTTGATTAGCAGCAGATGAAACAATTATAACAGGATGATTATCAAGGTCGGCAGTTGAGTCGATGAGAAGTTGAATTTCAGAAAGTGGCGGGTCATTTGTTGAGATGTCTCCGTATTTTATATATTAAAAAGCAAAACATCCGATGACATCCGATGAAACAGCCGGTGCGTTTTAAAATGTACACGAGGTTGCCTATATACAACGGTATTGACTTTCGTAAAGAAAGCAGTATACAATCAATGGATTATGTCCTAATAATCGAAAACATGGGAACTGGAGAAAGATTCACCATTTTGCATGTTGTTTTAAATTACCCCCTTGTTTTGTTTGTGTCGTTTTTGGTGTTTCATCGAAGCTGAGACTACTATATCTCATTTAGTTTGTATATTACTTGGTCTATTAAGACTTGAGAAATACTTTATACATGCAGTATGGTTTAAATGATTATATATAATGACTTAAATGTACGAAAATATATTATAATAGAAAGCAATCTTCCTTTTCGATATTTAGTTGATCTTAGTTATTATCATGATTATATTTGTATGTTTAAAGGGCATGCATTAGCTGTCAAACTCATATTCACCAATTTGTCTCAAATTTTCCTATTTGATTTATAACATACTAAAACGTATATCCAAATTACAAAAAAAAAGTCTAAAATAAACAATTAACAATGAATGGACTCTATTATATGTATCAGTGTAACAGTAAATTCAGTCCGTCACAGCAGAGACATATAATACAAGAGATTCGCAGCTCTAGTAGAGTCTATACAACCGCTGCTGGATAACTCGGACTAAAACAAAATCGGCCTATCACAAACTCGGACTATCACAAACTCGGACTATAACAAACTCGGCCTACCATTATTTATATGCGGAAATATATTGAACAAACTCGGACTATGATTAGTATATTGTTTTGTGGGTTTTTTTTTCTCACTTTAATAAAAAACAAACTTTATATATAAAAATAGATGTGGAGTAAAATTGAAAAAAAAAAACAGAGATTTCTTTGATCTTACCTTATAGTTCTATAAAATACATAAATGAAATGCCTAAAAGGGAAGTCATCCATTAATTATAAACATTTCACGGACAATGAAACAAATTGGGTCGTAAACATTGACAAAACCGGGTGCTTCAATTTTGACATGACCCACTTCTTTCATTCCATGCACAAACATGCAAATATTGAGGCGATCATAGTGAAAAGTCTTGAAATCTCCGTGTTAATATCTTTCTTTCCGTACCATTCTTTTCGTACAATGTGCCCAATTTAAAGAGAAATTAAACAAATTCGAGGCAGGGTTCACTCAATTCACCATTTTGATGTGCCTTTTTACTTATTTCTCCATAAATCTAGAACGGTTGTAGAAAATATTACATCACACTATCGAAAATAGTTATATGTGTATGTATATTCTTCAATATCAATAAAACAACATATAAATAAACAGAATTTCTACATTTCTCTGTCTTTTGATTGTCCGTCACCGTACCGGACATTAGATACTATTGAGTCCAAACATTTTTCGCCGGGGTAGTTTAGATACAGTGTTACATCACTAAGACCAATACATAAATGAAATGCCTAAAAGGGAAGTCATCCATTAATTATAAACATTTCACGGACAATGAAACAAATTCTTGAATAAAACCAATCAAGAGATCATTTTAGCCTTGAGCACTTTACAATATTCTAAGTTTGTAAGAGAATGCTCGTACTTAATCATGAAGAAAGGGATTATCATTCTCTTACATATACTTAGTTAATCACAATTTCATTTTATCATTTAAATAAAGGGTAATACATACGGTTCTTTATACCTTGATTAGAGTACAACGATATCTTAAAATTATGATAATGTATCATCCATGCAATTACTTTGTACACAAAAAAGTGTGTACTATGAAACCTTGTAAAGGGAAATTAAAGCAACTTGGTGATAGTTTTTTAAACTTTCTTTATGAGGGTGATCTATTTCGTCATGAATTGATTGATTTATTGATTATTGGTTGCTTAATGTCCAGTTGCAAATATTTCATGTTTTTACTTTGAAATAATAAAAAAAAAAAACACAAACACAAAACCTATTATCTCTGATCTATTGGTAGTTGCTTTTTAATGCCTTTCTGCTAGACTATATCTATGGGGACAAACTATCTATATGTTTCAAATTTATTATATCTTTAGTTTTACTGTGAAATTAAAAAATGTTTTCAAAACATGTAAAGCTTACACTGCAATTTAATTATTGCCTGCTTTTGGTCAATTTATTTTGTCATCTTACCATGTAAGAAGAACATGTATAGTAAAACACCGCTTTATATCAGTATACATACTTACACCAGCAGCTACCATCTTTTCATTCTGGAGTGAAGGGCCTTTTGAAATCACATATTTTACAATGATACTAGTGAGTAGATTTACAAAACTTCGTTAATGAGCTCCGTTTTACAAACACCTGTCATACAAGTAGTCAGCCAAAATAAACTATCAATAGACCAATTAAAAGATTACTCGAGTAGCAAATATGTGCTAAATTGGATAGACTATGAAAAGGTATATACTATGAAATTAAGAGCTCGGGGCTAGCCCCTCGCTCTAAATTTCATAGTATATACCTTTCCATAGACTAACCTAGACGAAGTTTTGTTCTCACTTGGGTGATTAAATAGGTGTCAATAGTACACGTGTCAGTTGTTAGTTAAAATTATGGTGATTAAAAAGGTGTCAACGATACACGTGGCATGATGTCATATTTCCAGTTGAATCAATTAAGATATGCATATGATAAATTATTTTGAGAGGGACATTATTACAAATTATAATACAGAAATACAAATCAGTGGTAGATTTTCATTGAATGCATTCTTAATTTTCTTTTTATACATATCTTGTTAACGTCATTTATAATATGAGGCAGGCATTACCTGTGAAAGGGGACGAAGTCTATATAAATTTTTTTTTTTTTAATTCAAACATATTTTAAGTTCTAAATCTGTTAAAAAAGAAACGGAAATACCGTAATGTTACCGATTTTGGTTCTGTTGTTAGGGATTTTAGTTGTGACGTTATTTTAGTTATGACGTCATATTCAATGTAAACAAAGAAACGCTATCATCAGGTAACGTTTTTTCATATCAAAGAATAATTAGAAATGAAATTGTTATTGTGTTCCTTCCTATATTTTACTGGACTGATAAATATATATAGTTTCACTCAAAGTCTCATGACAAACGAGACCGGAAGAAGGAAGTAGATTTCTGCGCAAATGCGGGTATTTAAAAAAGTTACAAAAAAAAAGTTAACGATTTTGAGTTCATTAGTACAATGAAAATTTCGGGAAATTTTCCCGATTTTTTTTTTCTTTTTTTTTTTATTGATTTTTCTACTGTAATTGGGGACTTCGTCCCCTTATTACTCGCTTCTAAAATGTTCAAAATAAATTATTTAATTAATTGTAAATCATTATTAATTCCAAATTAAGTATTGATAATTAATTTCCAATAAAAACAAAATAAAACATCATACTTATATTCTTCTAGAAGTCCGAGTTTGGTATAGTCCGAGTTTGTTATAGTCCGATTTTGGGAGGCCGATTATGTTATAGGCCGAGTTCGTTATAGTCCGATTTTGTTATAGGCCGAGATATCATGGATTCTATACAACAGCCAATGAAATGACTTGGCCACCGGAAAGCCGATTATACCGATGGATTTTTGGGTAAAATCCGCCATTGTTGTGAAAAAGGTCCTACGCCTAACGATTTTTATAATGGATAATGCCGATACTTTTCACAGCTAAAGCATGCAAGTATATTTAAAAATTACAAAAAACGAATTCTAATAATTTGTTATTGATAAAATGTGTTCTAATGATGAGATTAATCAAATAAAAAACAAAGTTAAAACTCGGCCCATTTTACTTCACCTCCTATTGCCGTAGAAACCATTTGATCTCCCAATTTTTTTCTTTAAACTTGGAAATATGCTGATAAATATATAATTTTATGGGGCAATAATACTCCTAAATGTTGTTTCGTGAAAATAAGACTATTTTCGTAAAATTTGATCCTAAAGTGTTTTTTTTTCAAAATTATCAACAAATGTGGCGATTTTTTCTTATTGATACCCGAAGCCAGCTGTGCTGGAACTATCATTTTATCTCGTAAAACTTGGAAATGTGCGAATAAATATTCAATTGTATGGGGCTATATTACTCTCAGATGTTATGTCGTTAAAATAAGACCAGTTTCGTAAAATTTGATCCAACAGTTATTTCTAAAAATATCAACAAAGGTGACTATTATTTTGTTATTTATATACACAAAGCCAGCTATGCTAATTATTTCAATCTGTTTCGTCAAAACTAGAAATTTACAAATAAATATGTCATATTATGGGGATATATATTACTCCCAATTTCTTTTTTTTTTATTAAACTGGCTAAATATTGAAATTTCTTCATTTTTGTGCACTATGAAATTTATAGCCTGCATTTTGTTTGGCAATTTATTCATTTTTCATTCTGTTTATGGCAAAGTTGTTTATTTTCTCCTATTCTGAAGTCATTGTTTTTTTCTTCCTTTTAGGGTGGCGTGCCAAAGATGAACGAATGCAGTAAATTTACAAAAGGAGTAAAATTTTCCTAGTAAAGGAAACCTTCTGCTGGTCGTAATATTATGAATGAGCTTCATGCATCTGTTGTCGTTTCAGACTACGCTTCTCATTCAATCATGAACTTATTCATTTTTAAATTAAAATCGTATTAAGGACATTTCAATGGTGACTGCAAAAGATATATATATATATATATTTGATAATAAAAAAATGTATTTACACCAAGGATTTGTATATGTATACACACTTACTTTTAAACTGCCATCTCTTTACCCCAGAATAAAAAAGACAAAAACCACTACAAATGATTTAAAGACAAAAACCACTACAAATGATTGTCTCGTGGAAAAAAGGTTATAAAAAACTTTTTAAATAGTGTCTTCCATGTTGCTTTGATGTATGACCTCGGCTCCCACTTCAATG